CGTGCTTCGCTGATTCGCGATCGCCAGCTGACTGTGAGCCAAAGCAGTACCGTTTGTATTGCACGTTGTACATGGGAACCACCAATGATTTGCCCGGCGCAGAGATCATGACGGTGGAGCGTATGTAAGCACATTGGAAAAGAAGCGAAGCATGGCAGATGACTTGGAACGAAGAGTGAAGGTCCTGGAGAGCCCGGGTGCTCAGCTCGGGTCAGAGTACAGTTCGGCTCGATTGATGGGGCTCCGATTCCTCAAGGACAGCAATAGCAGTGCGTCACAGGCCAGCATGGCCAGCATGGCCAGCACGGCCAATGTTTATGGGATGATCCTTGCATGGTTTGCTATAGAAAATCACAATTATATAATGGCTAAATCATCTGTAAATGGCCACCAGAGGATACCCTTCGCTGTAATTGAACATGGGCGGCTAGGAAATCCCCGTGCAAAATGGTGACTTTAATGGGAAAAAAGTACCTACACATGGATCATTTTTCATTGCCATGATTGACTGGTAGTCCGGTAACAAGTGATTATTTGACATCACATGCTTCCAAGACATCAATCATCATCAATCGATTTTTTCATAGTTCGGAGCCATATTTGGGGGAACTTGATTTTTGATTTTGACGATTCAAGGTTGTCTTTGAGCAGCCGGCATGGCCTCAAGACTTGCAATATCCATGGTCCCTCAACCAAATGTGCCATGGTCCCCACCATCAATGCTGAGAACCGCAATGGCCAATTATTGAAGATTCCCGATACTGGTTGGATGACCACACAAAAAACAATGTTTTGAGAATTCAAAGCTGACCTTACCCATTCCCAACAGCTGACCAATTTCGTTGCCAAAATTGATGAAAATCAAGTAAATGTGAAAAAGAAAGAGCAAGTAGGTTAATAACAACCACATAGCTCCAGAATGAGAGGGAATGAAACCAAACTTGGGTGGTTGAGAGCTCTGACAAAAACATGTTCGAACCAGTTCCCTCTGCGACCTCCAAGAACAGCAGCCGGATGAGCGACAAATCAAGTCTTTTTTTGGTCACTTCACTGGCCCGAAGCAATCCCCCATGCCTCAGGTTTGGGCGTCAAGTTTCAGATTAGATTTGCTGTTTGCTTTCAACACATACCAGCCGCGACACACCTGGCTCAATTTCATCTAAATTGCAACGGCGCACTTCAGCACCCAGAGGTTTTCAACCTTTTGCTACGGGAAGACAGGGAACGCTCCCTGCTACTGGCCCTTTTGGCAGTTGACGCCGATCGCACAGCACTGCGCACTAACTCAACATACCGAAAGATTGTTAGAATAATAGAAAGTTTCGAAGTCAAATTTCCGAAAAATATGAACAAATGAAGAAGCAGAGAGAGGAAGAGTCAGAGAGGACTAGAGAAGCAATGAAAAGATCAGAGAGGAGAAAGAATGAAGAGAAAGAACAGGCAGGTGCGCGAAAAAGTAGGAAAGTCACTATTCACCGTATTTTTCCAAATGATTCCTGGCTCCGTAGGGTCGAAAAAGTAGGCTCGCAACAAGCCAGAAGCAAGGCCATGTGGCTTGCAAAGAGATGAAAAATTGCACACCCTTGTGGCGCAAAGCACGACTGGAAGTAAAACAGCTAAAAACACTTGACCTTCAGACCACTTTTGAAAGATGAAATGTCGAAAAAGTGCACGCCATTGTGGCGCGAAGCACATGTCGAAATCAAACTGCATAAAACACCTCACGTCAGACCACTTTTGGAAGTTGGCATGTGGAAAAAATGCGTTACTGTTGAGGCAGGAAGCTCATTTCCAATTCAAACTGTTTTTGGACCACTTTTGGAAGTTCAAATGTCGAATGAGTGCACACCGTTGTGGCGCGAAGAACGTTTCCAAATCACAATGTTCAAAGCACCACATGTTGGGACCGCTTTTGAACGTTCAGGTGCAAGGTTTTGTTTGGCAGGCACAAGAAATTGTGCATCTTGTCAAAGATTAGAAAAACATGAGGGTTTTGTAGCAGTTTCAACTACAACACCTATACACTACACTACACTACACTACACGACACTACGCGACACTACATTACACTACACTCAAGTACACTACACTACAACTACAACTCCAGCTACAACTACAACTAGAACCACTACACTAACTACAACTACAACTTCCACTGCAACTACAGCTACAAGTACACTACAATGACTACAAATACAACTGCAACACTACAATACACTACACTGCACTAAACTCCACTCCACTGCACTACACTTCACTCAGCTACCCCACACTACAACTACATCTACAACTACAACTACACTACAACAACACTACAATAGCTACAACTATAACTATGCTCTACTAGACTAGCTACAGCAACAGCTACAACTACATCTATAACTACAACTACAACTACAGCCAAGTACAGCTACAACTACACAGCTGCAACTATACTACAGCTACACTACAACTACAATACAACTACGTCACATCACACTACACTAACTACAACTACAGCTACAGCTATAACTACAACTACACCACTTTGCACTACACTAGACTACACTACGCTACATTACATTTTACAACTATCATTACACCGCCACATATACAACTGAACACTACACTACACTAATGACACGACACCACAAGTACAACTCCACTACACTACAACTACAACTACAGCTACAGCTGCAGTACACCTCACTACATCCAGCAGTTGTGGATGCCATCATGAGCACTGCAACCATTGCAACCACTCCAAAAACCCAACGCCAACCACCTTTCTGTCCATCAATGGATTTACTCTGCCATCCGTAAATCACAACAACCAAATTTTCCTATAGGTTACCTATCCTTCAAACTTCCGCCGCCCGCCTTGCGCACTACTACTGGTATTTTAGAGCCTTCCATTGTTTTAACATAATTCTTGGCATTGGATTTCAGCCTTCTTCAGTCTTCAGAAATTTTGCACACAGGTAGTTCTGGATCTCCTGAAAAGTCATCGGCAACGGTGGGATAACTGCCAGTAGCTTGCCCGTGTCCATGGCCGCAAAGAAAGAAGCACGTCAAATCCAAAGTGGGCTGTTTGAGCTATGCACCAGCTGCCCACGGAGCAAGCTAGCGTTCCCGCATCAATGTAAGCAAGTCAGACAAGATAATCAACCCAGCAAAATGACATTACAGAAATTACTTCCAAAACAAAGCTCCGGCACGATACTTGAGCTGAGTGCGTGTGTTGGCCCAGAGTGGGCGACATGGGTTTCGAAGAATGGCACGTTTTTGTGAATGACAATGATCTCAAGGCATCAAATATGCAGCCAAGTGGAAGAAATTCTGTGGGTCTAAGGATGAGGAGACACATTGCTCGCAGTGTCTACAACCCACACCCCGGTTAGTTGATAATCATAGAGTTATGGCCATGGCTATTAGTTATAACATGTTATAACTGGTTATTTCTATGGGATAAAAAACAATCTATTTTGATGGGGTTTTCTTAGTACTTATAACTGGTATGACTCGGGCCTTAACTGTAGAGGATTCTACCCAAATCTGTCCCCAATACATTGGTGATTCTCTGAGCTGAGAATCCCATTCTTACCAGTACAAAGGGACGACACAGGGTTTTGAACACTGCTCGAACGCTCTCAACCCCGGATGAGCTGACAAAGAAAGCATGCGTGTAGTAACACCATATGTAACACCCCCAAATAGTACCAAATAGTGCTAAATTACTCTTAAGATCGGTACCTCTTCCCACAATATTAAACGTTCCCTGAAAACCATACATATTGCATCTGTTCATACTGGGGGCCCACGTAAGGGGTATTCAATATCAGGGGAAGAGATCAACAAACCAGTCTGAAGCAAAATTATAGGTCAATATTGATATTATGGATGGATGAGAAGTGGCCATGTTGATCTGCTCACGAGCTTCAAAGCCATTTGGTGCATGGTTGCTGCCAAAGTTCCAAGACATCAGTGACACGTTCCTGTGGACGAAAGGACGAAAGAGCCAGGGGTTTTAGCAGTCGATTCATGAAGACAGTATACTTTCGGGAAAGCTCTTCTGGGGAATATCAAATACCCGGCCAAAAAAAAACTGCCACGAAAAACTGATGGGAAAGATCCAGCAAGCTTTTTTAATGGGGATTCATCCACTATTTCGACTGGGCCATTTTTAGTAGCTATGTTAGTTTACCAGTTTACCAGAGGGTACATCTGCCACACAATACACATTCATACACCACCTTCAAATACATTAAAGCAAATTAGAACATATTACAACACTATGTTGTTATCATCACGGCATTCGAAGCCCAAAATATTCAAGCTCTCTTTGACTATCAGTACCATGTATTATATGGCTTGTTCATTCCCATACATAACATGATATACCCTGATCTTTCAAACACTAGTGTTTGATTAGTTGCTGATGGAATCACCATAGTTTTCGAGCAGAATTTTGAATACCAAGAAGGACAACCATTGTTTAGATGGTCTTTCAACCCAGATATTAGCATATTTATATTATTTCACATATATATGTATATGTATATGCATACCTAGACCCTCCAAGTACCCTTCAAAATGTTGCTTTGCCCTGATAGCCTTGGTACTTTTACCTTTTTTAGGTGGCATTTGGAGGGTCTAGGTATATAGATTATAGTTATATCACAATATATCCATATACATTACCATATATATATATATATCCCTACAGCTCCAAACACCTTCTGAGATTGTATTTGGACTTGTTTTTTGGGGTTTGTTTACCCCTTCTCAGAGGGTATTTGGAGCGGTATATTGTATATATATATATGTATAGATATAGATATTATAGTATATCACAATATATCCATGAACATTACCATATATACACATTAATCATCGCATATATATATATATGACTTATATTATGATATTCCGATATTCTCCTTACAATCCCTTATTCTCTGCAATTCCAGGACTTTCATTTTTTCGCAGCTGAAAGGATTGGGTCGTCGGGTCATCGCCAGGTGCCCCAGGTGGTCTCCGCTGCAACGGCTCCGGTAGACTGCGTTTGTGAGACGTGGCAAGACTGGGAGGTGGACAGCGATTTTTCAGGGCTGGAAATGGGGAAGATGTTCGATGGAGGTGTTTTAAAAAGGAAAACACCATGGGAAAATATGCTGCTTTCTATGAAAGATGCCCTGTCAGAGGAGGTTTCACCATCAACAAATAGGGATTTAGTGAGATTTGATGGTGATTCAACTGTGAATGAATGGAAATTAGTGGAAATCAATGGGATTTAGTGGCATGGGATTTAATGGGATTTATGATAGGATTTTAATGTTTTGGACCGTTTTCATATTTTTCAAACCATCTGGATGAATTATGGACCTCACGTCGTGTGTATATTCAGTTGATTGTGTTGAAATAACATCAGTGATACCGTGATACCATTGATACGAATGGTAGTATATGAAAAATTGAAAAGTGTGTATACCATATGTTTTTAGTAATGTTAATAGCTAATAACACTGTTGAATAGTAGTTGTATAATAAATAAAATATATAAATAGTAATGCCAGCAATAATATTGATAGTGAAAGATACGATGTTGTATGTACATATTTATTTATCAGCAATAACGGGTAGTAATATCAATAACATGAATTAGTGAATGCAAATTCAACGCCTTCTGTTAAAAAATGCTTTAGGTACTGGTCATTTTCTCGAACTTGCATGATGTCAATGATGTTTTCGATGTGTGAGGTGACACATCTGTCAGAAAATCCCAGAAAGCACTGCATTATCCCAGTGTGCAATCTTTGAAGTGTGTGGGATGGCGGATGGATTGGTTTAAGGGAAGATCTTAACCGGAAACCATAGATTTTTCCATTACATATGGGGCTTTCCTGCAACATTTCCCTTAAACCAATTCATTGAGGGATAGTTTCTCCCACTGCTTTGTGACAAAAAGATTCTCCATATCCTGGTGCTAGATTCGGAACATCACCATTTCAAGAGCATTCATTCACCCATAAATGAAGCCATCTTCCACATCTAGTTTACCCGAGGTTATTTATATATTATACAATATTATACATACTGTCGATGGAAGAAATCCTGCACCAGTTGGCAACTATTGGTAACTATTGAAACACTGTAAATAATGGGATCATAATGGGATAAACCATCTACCAACTGGTGCAGGATTTCTTCCATCCATAGTAGTAAGTTAGATGGGGTTATAAAGCTTATAAACCAAGAAATATCACCAGGGATGACCTTAGTTATTACCCCACTATTCATAGTCTACTTGGGGTGCGGGCCCATCTTAGTAAATGGATTATACTATATACAGAATCACAATAGTATATGCGATGAAATACGGGTGATTTATGGATTATAAGCCGGTCGAATGCCTGGGATGTATATCCAAGTATGGTTTTTTACCCGTACATGACCGGAGATATCCCATAGCTGGGCTATAAGATTCCATGATGAAATAGATCCACTTATCAATGGAACTGCACTGGGAACAAGGTGATGCCATGTGATGCCCCAGTCACCATAGAACCACCAAGTACCTCAACAGCTCAGCTCCTTTCCTGCGAAGCGCAGGCGTGTTCCACCAGCTGCGGTGCCGGCACGCGTAAGCGCAGCCGCACGGTGCAAGTGCCTGCCAATGAGATTGGGAGAGATTGCGCAGCCCGGCCTTCGCAGATATGGTGTTTTAGAATGGGAGGTACATGGTGGTGCCCCCCCTGTTATAAGTTGGTTTATAATCCCATTAACTATAGATATATCTGCCATAACTCCTAGTTATTAGAGTTATAAACCAACTTAGCTATCTAGGGGGCACCACATTGTAATATCTATGGGGATCCCGAAAAATTGAAGGGTTTATAATGGAAAATAGCGTAGATGATTTGGGGGTATCCTGGTATCCCCCATTTTAGGAAACGTCCATTGGGGACTTAGGAAAAACACCATGGGATGTCCTCAGATGTTTGATTTTTCCTATCCAATGCCGGGGGTTGTTGGAAAATGTTGGGAAGACTTCAAACTGCCATGGTTTCAAAAGTCCTGGTCGCCATTGACCCGCCCATGTTGGTAACTAATGAGGGGAGATTGCCGGAACAATGCAACGAACATGTGACCACCCTGCTACTGAAGCAGGAGCCAACTAATCTTGGAACACCAGTTTAGTGGTTTGTCATGCGGTACACCCAACAATAAACCATACAAGGTGGTGCCCCCCCAGTTATAAGTTGGTTTATAATCCCATTGACTATATATATATATATATATATACATATCCACCATAAGTCCTAGTTATTAGAGTTATGTTCACCAACTTAGCTATCGAACGGGGGCACCACATTGTACTGGCAACCGCAGATTGCTATACCTCTGATTCGTTGAAGATGCAGGGCGCCCCCTCTAGTCGATGAATCAGGGTTTGCAAAACCCAGGTTGCCATTAGAAAGTTTTAAGTATGACACGATTCCAGGTGTGCACTGACTTGAAAGATCTTGAAAGCAAAAGTGAAGGTCCTGCAGTTTGTGATGATTAGTGTAACTATTAGTGTTTCATATTGTGGATGGAAGAAATCCTGCACCAGTTGATAGGTGGTTTATCCCATTTTTTCTAGGGTTTCAACCATCCCGGCTGGTCCAGGATTTCCTCCATCCACCGTATGTATAAATAAATATAAATAAATATATATATATATATACACATATAAATAACCCAGTTATAAATGGGATAAGTAGGGTTACTCCACTTATAATTGGAGTTATAACCCGCTTACTAAGTGGGATGAGCCACCAAGTAGTGTTTCATATCTTATATAAATTGCAGCAGCAACCTCAATAAGCCTCCCTGGGAACCCCGCAAAAATCGCCACGGAGTTTGGGATTTGAGCCATGGATCCATGTAGCAATCTTTTCCGGAAGATTCGCTGGATCGGATCAGGTCCGACAGGTCAAAACCAGGAGGTTCAATGAGTTTCAATGGTTTCAATATACAGCCTTTTAGGGTGCTGAAGAGCCATTTTGGCTTGGAGTATGGCCAGCCTTGGAGTATGGCTAAGATCCTGGTAGAATGGTTATCAAACACGGCTTGCTGGAAAATCCTCAAAATATCGGGAAATTTCTCTGATGTTCGAAAACTAAAACCTCCATGGCGAACGCGGAAATTTCCCAGCCCATGTTTGATTATATATACATGGAGGGCCCACCATCAAGAATGAATTTTTCATATGCGGATGCGGCCCCAAAAGCGGGCCCTGGTGGCAGCGCCGTTTGAGCACAAGCCGACTGACAGCCAAACGCACTCTCCACTACCGAACTGTGAGGAAACCAATTGCAACGGATTATGATTGCGAAGGCATGTGGCTCGAAGACAGGCAAGGGGCGCAGAACCCCATGTGGACAAACTCCAAGGAGACCACGCTACGAAACTATTGCTCCTCAAACCCGTAAATAACGGATCACGCCCCTCCCATCTGTGATTACGCCCCTCGTACGCCCCTCAAACCTGCATGTAAATAAGGGATTACGTCCCTCCCGTGGTTACGCCCCTCGTACGTCCCGATTACGCCCCTCAAACCCGAATGTAAATAAGGGATTAATTACGTCCCTTTTAGCGCTTTGGCCGTATACTATAGGACCGGACGGGATGCACGGCAACAAGTGCACGCCACACACTTCTCCCAAGATGCACGCAAAACAGCTTCCTGACATAAGCGTTGTAAAGGTGGCACGCTGCCAGAGCGCAAGAGGTTAGCTTCTTGCGGCCCGGAAAGTGGACCCTTTTCACTGATTCAGAACAGTTTCTGCGCCATGTCCCCTCATAGTATTATACGGATGTATGCGTGTGTGTCCATGGCAGCTTGCATTATTGCAGAAGGAAGGCTGGCGCCAGCAAATGGACGAAATCTGGGCCGTCAGGGCCGTCGAGCAGCTCGTGTTTGCTCTTTCGTGGTCCCAGAAATGGGGCCAAAAACCGGCCCCAAAAACGGGCCACAATATTGCCGTAAGAAGGAAAGGCTTCCAAAATGGCGGCCCCGTTTCTGGGACCAGGGTGTTGCATACACAGTCAGCCCCCCTCTGCGTGCAATGAGCAGCGGAGACTCCGGAACCTTTCGTTCGTTTTCCTGGCATTGGGCTTGACAAAGCCTCATCCAAGTTTCACAGTGTATATATATATATATATATTATATTATTATGTAATTGTAATTCTGTTTATAATTTCATGATTACATATATTTCTATATATATTATATATATATTATATTATAACACAATAGTATAATAATATAATAATACAATAATATCATAAGAACATAATATAATAATATCATAAAATAATAACATAATGATATAATAAAATAGTAATATAATAATAAAATAATGTTTTATGATAATATATTTATATAATTTTATTCATATAATAATATAGTAATATAATCATTTAATACTACAATACTTTAACAATATAACAATATAATAATTTAATAATATAATGATATAAGAATATTAGAATATAATAATATAATAATATAATAGTATAATAATATAATAATATAATAATATAATAATATTATTATATAATACTGTAATAATATAATAACATAATTAAATAATAATATCATCATCGTCATTTTCATCATCATCATCATCATCATCATCATCATCCTCATCCTAGGTCCTAAGCCTATTAAGTACCAGTACTATCCATAAATCACACTACCTCCAACTTAAGTCGACCAAATTGTCGGCGAGTTATCAAGTTGGCGATGCCAGCTCCCATACATCGCCTCTATGTGCCTAAATTGGGCACGATTGCTGGAAAAAACACATGGGGCCATTTTCCATAGAATCAATGTATGTTTATCATATAAAGTATCATGGGACTTCATGGGATTTCATGATACTTTATATAATTTATCATGTAAAGTATCATGAAATCCCCAAATCCAATTAAATCCATTTGTTGCCACGTTTTCCTCTTGACACCTCCATAAAGACAGACCCCGTACCGAGGTAGGGGAAGATCACCAAACAGATCCCTGCAAGGCAGTGATGATTTGGTGGTAGCTTAGGGAGTTGGGGAGAACAGAATGCGGATTTTTCCCAAACTCAATGGTGATTTCAGGATCCTAAAATGGAGGTACTGTACCATATAAGGCCATATTTTGTGGGGATATTCCCTTACATAGGCCTAACAAATAGGCCTTATATATGTTAGGTACCTCCAATTTAGGTTCCTGAAATGACCATAGAGAAACAGCTGGATATAGTGGGTATACAACGGAAAAACCTGAGTTTATTGGTGGCTTCTCCATCAAAAAGCTGGGGATGATGGAAATTTGGGGGTAATATGGGGGTAATCTATCCCGATGGTTTCGAGATCCCTTGGATTCTAGCAATTTTGGATATTGATAAGGTGAATGCAGGCTGGACCAATGGAGACCAATGAATGATTTTTTTCCATTAGATCAACCTGATGGTTTGAAATCAATGAAGTGCAGATATACCGTCTGAGAAATTTTAACGTAGCGATGGAAAATCACCATTGTAATAAGTAAATTTATTATAATATATTAAACTATCAATAAATGGTCCATGGTTTCCATACCAACTAGCTAGCCATTACCATAGGGTGTTCGATATCGAGTGTTAACTTTTGCAAAAATGATTTGTTTGGGTTCTACTTTGGATGATGGGATTTTTCTAAAGGTACAGTTGGTTTATAGTCTATAATCCCATGGGCTATAGTATACTATAGTCTATAGTTATTTTCCCCATAAATTACCCTAGTTAACCAAATTATAAGTTAACTTAAATGACCTTGTCGAAGGGTTTCCAAGGTTCGGTCCGCCATGCGTCGTGCAACAGACATACACGAGCATAGCAGGTTTTTGCAGCATTGGTTTCACGGACAACTTGAAAGCAAAGCCGCCACAATGGATAGTTAAAACCATGTTCTCCCAGTAGAATTTCCACACAAAAAATAGTTATAATAGTTTACGGTAGATATTTTTATGATATGTTAAAATATGTTAAACCATGTTTCAGGTGTTCGGTTACAGTAGGCGAACTAGTTGACGGTGGTTGTTTCATAAAAACCCTGATTGCATGATCTAAAAACAATCCCACAAACAAACGTATGGAAAGTATTGAAAAGTAACTTCCATTTTTTGAAATTATTATTTGTCCAGCTTTTTGGGCGGGTACTGCAAATAGATTGAACATGATCTAGCAGTAAAGTGATTTTTTCATATAGAAGAACTTAGACAATACTAGTGTATCACCAAATAATCCGAAAACTAGTGATTCCTCTCCTATTTTGTTCTATACAATGTGTTATTTCCCACCAATAACTTTGGTGACTCCAAGGGTGAGATCTGTCCACAACGGGTGCTGGCGCCACCAGGGCGAATCCTGTCCTACCTGTCGAACTTCCGAGTGGAGTTGCATGACTTGGCGCAGAGGGAAATTGGGTTGGTCCAAAAGATGTACCTCTGTAATATATACCAGTTATAAGTCAGTGAAAACCCCACTTATGGAATAACCCCATAGAAATAGCAATGTAATGCCATTTATAATTTGGTTAGTGGTTTCAAACATGGCTTCTATTTTCCATTTCATATATGGGATGTCATCCTTCCCATTGACGAACTCATATTTTTCAAGATGTTTAAAACCACCAACCAGATACATATTGTTGATGATATTTTATGATAAGTACATATCATATATATATATAATTCTTTATATATTATGTATATATCAATACATCACATGGATACATATTCACACACCATTCAAATCCATTCAACAAATGTGAGCATTGGATATGTAGAAGAGAACTAGCCCAAATCCACTGACTAGTCGGCTAATCAATTGATCACCATATGATTGAATGATCCGCGATCTTTTGAACTGATGTGGGCAATCTATTCTTTCAGCCCTAATCAGAATAGAGGTAGGAGGATACCCAGAGCATCCTAGAGCTAAATCGATGATGTCTCATAGCTCTCATCTTCTCATTGATTACGGGGTGGTGCCCCCACCCGTGAGGTTTGTTGGTTTAGAACCCCCATGAACTATTGATATATGATATATTCCTCTACAGTTGAGGCCGTTTAGAAGTTATAAAAGAATATATATAGATGGCTATAAATGGGCTTATAAGTCCATAAATGGGGCTAGTTATAACTGACTCAAAAAAAAGGGAGAACTCGGGCCATAACCGTAATCACCAAAGTTATTGAAGTTATTGAAGTTATGTTCACCAACTGGGCGATTTTCTTTGCAAAACCATCGCCTTGTACTCTGGGCAGTCTGTTGTATGATAAGGGGCCTGATTAGAATCGATCTTCACTGATTATCTCACAGTATCTCAAGTCTGTGAAACATACAAACCATACTTGGAGATAATTTCCTAGCTTGGCCTTTCTTTCGCCTGAAAGGAGCAGCCATGCGAGGTTGAGATGCACGATGTTCAAGACCCAGGTACTTGAAGTGCTGATACAACTTCTTTTTTGTTTGGAAACACTGGATGAGTTCTTGAGGTCGTCTTCTCCCAGCTGCAGTCCCTGGGTGGTATGTCGGACAATCAAGAGGAAATCAATATGCCTTGTTTCCTGGAGATTGAGGCGTGCAAGGGTCTTCCAGTTAGTTAGTTTGCTTGTTTGTTTGTTGGCCGTTTGTTCTTCTTGTTGTTGTTGTTGTTGTTGTGATGATATGCACATATATATATATTCACCCATCAAGGTGATGATATAATTTGAGGAAAATAAAATATATTCTGATTCTGATTCTGATTGGCGTGTTTGTTAGCTTATGTGCACTTGTGTTCCATTAATTAAGCATCCTGAAATCTAACCTAGAGGTAACGGATCTACACATGGGCAAATGTCAGTGCCATGGTCCATGATGTGCCATGTTAGATGACCATAGGCTCTTCATATTTTCAGACATTTACCCTTTCAAGCATGTTGGGATTTGTTGAAGCCAATCCTTCATTGCTAGTTGACCTCCCCATTTTTTGTTGATGAATCATAGTTTGTCAAGCCATGTGATCATCGTTCAAAACCCGAGCTGGTTGAGTTTTTTTGGGGGGATTATACTGTACCATCTGGTTATTTAACATAGCCATGGAACATCACCATTTCTTAATAGGTAAACCATCTATAAATGGGCCATCTATACCATGGCGAACTGTTAAATAACCAGAGGGTAATATCTTGGGAATATCACAATTCACAATCCACTAGGGGAATCCCGTTCTTAACATCTATTAACCACGCAGTATAAAGCTGGTTGGTCGTTTGGAACATGTTTTATTGTGCCCAATAGTTGGGATGATGATCCAATCTGACTCATATTTTTCAGGGGGGTTGAAACCACCAATTAGAAAGGGATTTGAAACCAGCAATCAGAATGGATGGTGGAGATCACGGTTTCCATTCCAAGAATACTCACAGCAAAACTCACATTTCAGGTTTGTGAATTGTAGTCATTTTCCCAGACATAAGTCATGGCATATTAATGCATATTATATCTCATGGGCTCATATATATATATACATACACATATATAGACATACAAATGTATACACATATATAGATATTACTCCATAACGGGCCCTGACTCAGCCATCATGAAGACACATGAGAACGCTGCGAATGAATGAAAATATAGATATTACCAATAAAGTTAAAACGGAGGATAGATAGATAAATAGACAGATAGACAGATAGATTGATAGATATCCCTAGTCTCAATCCCACTCAATTATCCCCAAAAAATAGATAGATTGATTATTGTTAGTATCATATATTTTGAGGATAGATAAATTATTGATAGATAGATTGATAGATATCCCCAAAAATAATGGGTGTTGAAAGTACCGCACCGCGGGTTGTGAGGTTCTTGGTCGGACTGCACTGGGCCCTGCACCTACCTCAGTAGCCGTTCCATCCGCGTGCGCGAGCCCTTGAGTTCAGGCGGGCGGGTTGCGCGAGTCCCCCCAAAACGTTGAACGTGTGAACGTTGGTTGAGATTCACCCCATGAATACCATAGAAATATCTACCGTAAATATATTAATTGGGTTATAATACCATAGAAATATGTAGGTATATATTGCTAATTGGGTTTATAATCCAATTCTAAGTTGATTTATAAACCCAATTAGCAATATATACCTACATATACCTACATATACCTACCATAATCCATAGTTAACCAAGTAAATCATCAGTCAACTTACTGTATAAATCAGCTAACCAAAAATCCCATGGAAATCTCGATGTTCACAAGGCGATTTCGTTGCTGTTGTCACCACCTCGGATTTACCTAAGTGGCTTGAGTTCACGAGGTTAAAACGATGGGTTTTATGGTATGATTTATTTATAGTTAGATCTTCCAAACCATTAGAAAACAACCATGGAACTTTATGACTTTCCAGAAACAGTTGGGAGTTTCCATCCATCTATCCTGACTTTCACTCCATCATTTTTCAGAGGGGTAGGTTAAAACCACCAACCAGATATATAATATATAAAAATATGGTATCTTACCCCATAAGCTTTTGGTAGTTTTACACTTTTCTTGGAGGTAAATTTGGAGGCTAAAACGCTGTGGGAACTAATCCATCGTTTTTTCTCTCGAGTCACCTCGAGGGAGGTTCAAGCCACGATTTTTGTTGGAGTCTCGTTGGGGTTCTCATGTAAATAATTCGAAATTTTACAAGATGGTCTGGTTGGGCCCCCCCAGTTATGCATTGGTTTAAAAACCCTAGTAACTATAGTTAATAGTTAGTTATACTGGTTGGTGGTTTGGAACATTTTTATATATACAATCTTTATTTTTCCATATATTGGGAATTTCATCATCCCACATGACTTTCATTTTTCCAGAGGGGTTCAAACCACCAACTAGTGGTTATTATAATATAATAACTATATAATGGGTTTATAAATCAACTTATAATTGGGGTATAAGAATCCCATGCCCCGTTCATACTAAACACCTCCCATTGTATGGTTCCAATGGAATGTGGAAATCCCCTACTAAACCATGGTTTAGTTTAGGTGGTGTTTAATATGAATAGGGGATGGGATTAATTGGAATATTGCAAGATGGTTACTCCCATATTCCAATCATCATAGTTCTAACTGCCAATCATCACAATTGTAATCACAGTCCAAAATTATGGTGACTGTGACTGGAACAATCACAATTTAGCGACTGGTATGGTGACTGAACGTTATAAGTGCGATTAGAATTGTGATTGGGGACCTTCCCTTTGTTGTGGATTTTTTTGCGGTAAAGCCAATGCCATGCAAACCATCCATGGTGATTTTAAGGGGAAGTCCCTTTGGCTTGTTGCCGGCGTTGCGAGCACTGAAGCAAATCATTGGTTGGCTTCACGGCAAGCTCATCATAACTGGTGCTTGGTACATTCCATGCCATCACTTTGCAAATTTGAGATTTTGGAAATATTGGACAATTTGGCAACATGGGGTTTCCCCAGCGTTTCCCCAGCGTTTATACCCCCTGGTAAACTAACATAACTATGGAACATCACCATTTTCAATGGGAAATCTCACGATTTCAATGGCCATTTTCAATAGCTTTTTGTATGATTTCCAGAGGGTAAACCTCCATTTTCCTATGGATTTCCTATGGTTTTCCTATGGTTTTTGTATGTTTCCCCAGCGCTTCTAGCTCTTTTGGTGGGTAGGGAACATGATGAACCAATGGATTTTGGCCGCCAATTCATGGAAAGGCCGAGCATGGCAAGTCATAGGATGACGTCGTAGGATGTGCCAGGCCCAGAAAGTAATTGGATCATAGCCATACTTACAATGTGAGGCCCCCTAGTTATAATTAAGTTGGTTTAGATTCGCCCCAGTAACTATAGTTACAAATACCATAAAGCATAGTGAAGTTGGAATTAATTCATAAACGGATCAAATATCGTGCTCATATCATTAAATATCCATATATTCATTCATCATTTATCCATACTTGGTGGCGAACTACCCACGAATTGTGGTTGTGGGTTAGTTCACCCCAGTGATTGACATGGGATAAGGAGCGGGTTAATCCACTCAAGAAACTGGGGTGAACTAACCCACTTACTAAGTGGGATGAACCACCAAGTAGCCATACTGACACACTTCATTTGTATGAATAAAGATATCAATGGGTATTTCAGGATCCTAAAATGGAGGTACCGATTCCATATATAAGGCCTATTTTTTAGGCCTATGTAAGTGAATATCACCACAAAATATGGCCTTATATGGTACAGTACCTCCATTTTAGGCTCCTGGAATTCCCGTCGAAGATACTCTCAATTATTTCAATATAGTGATTCAACAGGTTAGTACCCCCCGTGATGTTTGATATTTTCTAAACCCCGTGAATATTATAGATTATAGACAAATCCCGTCCCGTATAAACCATAGTTATTATATGTTATTATGTTATATTAGAGTTACAAACCAACTTGGCTATTGTTTGGGAGCACCACCTTTTATGTTTATACGCATGATATGTCAATATGAAAGGTTCCTATTAAATTTGATCGACAAAAAACACAAAGACCAGGGGCACAGCAAGTTGGACTAGCTGCATCTGGTCTTGCCACCCGCCTTACATCAAGAAACTCAATTTTGGAAAGGTTTTGATAATTTGGTGGTCTATGTGCTGTATATATATATATATAGATAGCCGTGGGATAGCAACCGCTCAACCGGACCAACTAGGATGCACAAATGCACGTATCATTCAGGAAAATAACCCCCATAAATGTTATATGGGGGTTTCGAACTGGGGGATCCCCAAGTCACCATGGGTTTCAAGACTAAAATGGTCTTTTTTTTAATGATTACCACCATTTCAGCCATATAAAATGCTAAACGGTGTGAACACACGGGATTTTTGCTGCACCTGTGGCTGTCTACCGAGTCATGGTCAGCTACTGTAGCCTGGTTGGTATTCAGTCCAGCTGCGGGAAAATCATCAAACAACAGTGGATGTTCCAATGCCAGAGGGATATCCAATTACTTGTTACAAGGTGGTGCCCCCTAAATAGCCAAGTTGGTGAACACAACTGACACAACTCCAATAACTATGGTTGATGAGGGGACTAGTTCAAATTAATTCATCGGGTTTATAATCCAACTTATAACTAGGGGAGGCACCGCCTTGTACACGAGACAAAATTTGATGAAATGTGTGGTTTCATTGGCACTCCAGTTTGGAGACATACCCATGTCATCAAGAATCAAGAAAGATAAGGATACTTGGTGGCTCATCCCACTTAGTAAGTGGGTTATAACCCCAATTATGAGTGGATTAACCCTACCTATCCCATTTATAACTGTTAATCCACTTACGAGCCGTGGGATGAGCCACCAAGTAAGGATAAAACTGATAAAGCAGACAACAAGGCGATGTAACCGACACAAGAGACCCCCAAGCTGGTTCTACCCTCATATTCTTTGATTACAACCCCCACAACTTTTTGCTGTACATGAACGGCATGTCATTGCTTCAGGTTGCTTCTCATGCAACAGTTCTTGGTTCCATACTTGATACTATCATCACCATTTTTGTTGTCCTGGTCAACTTTCCAATGTTGTTAGGATGGTTTAGGGGTATGTTTTTTTTCCCGGAAACCATGTTCTTTTATCAGTCAAATACTGATTTTCCCGAGTTTCCTGTAGCATTTCCAGTGATATCATTGACATCTACATATTGATCATGGAACCTTGCCCACGGGGCGTTGTGTCATTTTCTGGGGGAGGACTCTGTGACAAGAGTTTGGAAGAGGAAAGGGCCTGCACTTGTGACTTGGATTTGGGGGATTTGATCTGAGAATAATGAAACTTACCCTCTGGTAAACAGCCACATAACTATGGAAAATCGCCATTTCCAATGGGATAATCCACGATTTCTATGGCCATGTTCAATAGCGAACTGCTAGTCATTACCAGAGGGTAATGGGGATTGTGTGTCTTCCAAGGCGCCCTTCAGCTTTGATCCTTAGGGTTGAACCAATAAAGTCCTTTGGGATTTGATGGGAACTAGTTGGGTGGTATGATATCTTTGGATAAACCAAGTGGAAGGTGTAGTTTTTACTGCAACTGGTAATTGTTTTGCAATGTTGATGGGTATATAAATGATTGACCTGAAGAGTTGTTTTTCCTTCTTGCAGGGTATCAAAGAGATTGGGTGTGAATATATTGGCAATCTTCAGGGTGAAGATGACGATAACTATGAGATACCTGGTGGCGAACTACCCACGGCTCGTGGTTGTGGGTTAGTTCACCCCAGTTATAAGTGGATTAACCCTATCCGTATCCCATCTATATAACTGAGGTGAACTAACCCACGACCACGAGCCGTGGGTAGTTCGCCACCAAGTAACCTAAGTAACCCTCTCATTTTATGGCCTATGTGTAGCTGAAACAGCATTCATGACTAGGCCAACAGACTGGTGATTGTTTGCAGTGGAATAAATCGATAGTAAATAGCATGCTTTTGGTCAACCTAAGTAGAACATGTCACAAGTGAAGACATGTACATATGTAATATACATATATATATACATATATACCCTGCTTTGTCAACTCGGTGTTTTTGTTTGTTTTTGCAGGTCTTCAGATACCTACAGTTGCGATCCTTACTTGACCCATAAATCATAGTAGCGGAGGGCACTATTTGGTTCCATACCTCTGCTGACAACTAGATCGGAACCTCACAATGGCCACTTCTTGTGACCTCCATGTTGGTAACACATGAATATATATATATATAAATATGATTATATATGTATACGTATATATATATATATTTATATATTTATACATACACAACTCATTTTTAGCAGGGCTATACATCAGGGACCAGGGACGTTTATTGCATGCCAAATAAATTCGGAACGGGGTGAAAAAGGTTGCGCAAAATCTGTTGCGAAAATTCGTGGAGGTGGACAATATTCAACGTGTACCCTCTGGTTATTCAACAGTTCGCCATGGTATAGTTGGCCCATTTATAGATGGTTTACCTATTAATAGCATGGTGATTTTCCCATTTATAGATGGTTTACCTATTAAAAATGGCCCATTTATAGTCTGTTTTCCCATTAAAAATGGTGGATCTTTCCAGTTCGCTATGTTAAATAACCAGATGGTACTCCGATTTCTGCGCCAACATGGCTCAACATACCCAATTTTGTTTCATCGGTGCCGTTATCCTAACGGTGAGTGCCTTGGCTAAATCAGCATGTTTTCATGTTTTTTTTGTGTTTATAATCCAATCATTTTCCTATCAGTTTTACACATGTTTGATGGTTAGACACGATTTTTACCCATCATTTTTTGATTTTTATGGTTAATTCCAAATTTTCCTAAGTTTTCCCTAGGTTTTCCATCATGTTTCATGGTTAAACCTAGATTTTCCATCATTTTTCCCTAGGTTTTTCCACGTTTTTGGTTGTTGGTTTTACTTAGGCTTTCCATCCACCGAGGCCACTCCGACGCCGAAGCCGATGAGGTGAAGGCCGCGGTCAGGGCCGCGGCCGCGGCCGTCGCGGCGAAGGGTGGCAAGGACGGGCGTCCAGAAACCAGGGCGATACAGTTACTATACAGTTATGGCCATTTATTAGTTATAACTGGTTATAAATGGGATTATACATTCTATAAATGGGGTTATAAGTACTTATAACTGGTAAAGGGCCTTAACTGTATGTACATATAGATATATCATGATATATACATAACTGGGGTTACAACCCACTTACGAGTCGTGGGATGAGCCACCAAGTAACTTGCCAGAGGTTATCTAGGTCAATCTTACATGGATACAAACTATATAATCCTTTAGTCTTTTGATATCAATGAGAATATCTACGTTCACCAGCAAAGATTTTTTTTTGCAGGGTATCTAAGATTGGCAATGTATGTCAACCCTGGATTAATAAACCATTGTTTATTAATTAGGGAGTACTCCTCCAATAGTCAGTATCTGATACTTAAATGGTACCCTCCCAATTAAACAGCCGTTTGGGGTTTATTAATTCAGGGTTGACATTAGACATTATATGTATACACTATATTTAGATCTTTAATGATACATATGTATACTAAATATATAGTTACTGTATTATATATATAAGTTATGTATATGTAGGCTTTATCTATAAGTTATGTATATATGTATACTTTATATATATACACTATATACATGTACTCTATTTACACATATATATATATATACATACATACTATATATATATATATATGTATACTACGAATATAGTTACTGTGTATATATACATATACACTATAAGTAATAATATACCATATGATGAGTACATAAGTATGTTATGATGTTATTTGTCATAGTGATTGAACTAGGTAACTAGGTATCAAATGCTGATTTAATTGTGATATTATTTGGATATGAGAATTACTATTAATAAAAGTTGTATTACTATTCATCCAATGATATTATGAGATTATCCAATTATTGGGATGATATTATTGGATATATCGAGATAGATATCTCTAAATATTCATATCAAAATAAGCAGCATCCCAATAATATCACAATCCCAATATCATATAGATATACTAAAGATATACTAACGTTGTATTGCTATTCATCCCATCTAAAGTTGTAATGTGGGATCATGATGAGTCTGAGAAAAAGGGCTGGCCCTCAACAATTCAGAGGGCATTTTAAATCCAAGGTAAGGATCATGATTTCGTGTTGAACTTTTGTAAGGTCAGGATCTTCAATAATTGGAAGCAATCTACTTTCAATTGATTTGCCTTTGTATGTCTATTTTTTGAAATCTAAGGAAAAGTAAAGATGTCAATTGTAATCAATCTACTTTAACCTAATTCGAAATCTATGAATAAGTAAGGATATCAATTGAAAGCAATCTATTTTCAATTGATGTCTTTTTGTTGCTAATACTGCGTGTTAGTGATATTGCTTATAAGAAACCAAGGCTCTCACAGGTATAGGTAACAATAGTATTAGTATACATGGCGGTTCAATGGGGATATAATGGGGATACTATAACATAAGTAATATTACGGCCAAACACCTCGTCTTGCCCCCGCCTGTTGGCCCGCCTTCTTCGTATGAGTTGAAAACGTGCTGAAAATTGGATATTTAGCATTATGGTAAACTTGATGTTCTAGATCAGAACGCACAGCAGAGGGACCTGTGCGGGTTCGTTCCGCCACATCATCATCATCATCATCATCATCATCAAATATTAGTTTGACCCGGTGGGAGGATTGAACCCTTATTGAAGATCTTCAATGAATGTAGAAGTTTAGCGGGGGTGGGAGAATAAAACTCTTATTGAAGATCTGCAATGAATGTGAAATGAATGTAAAGTTTAGCGGGGGTGGGACGCGTGTATTCCCTAATACCTTTTTTGATCTTCCCAAGACAAGAAGAGTGTGGGCGAAACTGGGTGTTTGCGTGTACTATTACTAAGTATCTTTCATATCTATCTACATGAGGATTAAACTACACATTGTAACTATCAGTGTGTTACCAAGTGTATTACTGCTAGTGTGATACACACTACAAGTATAATATATGTATATGTGTATTTGATGTAAATATGTAAGCACAAAACTGTCTACGAGCAATGTATAACAATCTTTTGGATACATGTAATATTAGTAATTATACAATATATAATATATACAATCGTCTAGAAGTAGTTTAGTATCTATAAGTATATCTATATCAGGTACCATCTGGTTATTTAACATAGCCATGGAAAATCATCTTTTTTTTATAGGTAAACCATCTATAAATGGGCCATTTTCCATGGCTATGTTAAATTACCAGAGGGTAAGTACTAACTATCAACAGCAGCATATCACTATTGATATTAGGTCCAAGGTTATCGTGGGTGAAATCTGAAGATTATGCTAGATATGATGGGGTAGCATCGGCTGCAGGGATAGACATCCATTAAAAAAGCCAACGTGGAAAACACACTAAATTCACATAATTATCACAGGAAAAGTAATTTCCAAATCAGTTTCCAATCTAGGAGTTGCGCTGAGGGTTTAGATGTTTAGTGGCTCCCGAAAAGCGACTTTTTCTGATGCAAGAAAAACATGTTGTAACAGTGTTGTCCGCAGATGTTGAGTCACCAAGGCAAGCAACAGATCCCATCGGCCATTTTTTCGTCAGAAGATCTCGGACAAAAGTTTCAGAAATTCTTTCGAAACGATTTTCGTGCAGCATCATGTGAGTGAGCAGCTTGAATATATGTGCATCCCACTGAAAAAGGGCTCCGTGGTTTATAATCCACATTATCACCCATATTTCATCCCATATCCAGTGGATATTCCATGAAGTAGGCTATGAATAGTGGGACCCTGTAAGTAAGCTACATTAGTAAATGGGTCAAACAAAAACAATCATTAAAAAAAGTAGTATTGTTTCTTTAAGACCCATTGACTAAGATGGCCCGCACCCCCAAGTAGACTATGAATAGTGGGTTATGGAATAACTAAGGTCATCCTACTTAGTTTATAGGTTATAACCCTGGTGATATCTGTTGGTTTATAACCACATTTGACTATGGTAGTAATCACAATAAACCCTGCAAATTGGGGCCCCCTAGATAGCTAAGTTGGTCTAACACTTTAATAACTAAGGTTCATGAATGTTTGTGATACTTCATAGCTATAGTTGCAATTTATAAACCCCACAGTTATGGCCCAACTAACACTTATACATGGGATTACAATGATGTATAACAGACTAGTTATAGGAGTTATATCTCCATTTATAATTGTTTTCATGATAGCTGCATGAAGCATAGTGATATGCCGCAGCCCCTCATCAACCCGAGTTCAAGTGTTCAACGTACGTAGCTTTGCAGGACGGCAACGAAGGATCGCAGGATGAGGTGCAACGCTCGGCTGGGGCCGTTGACCCAGTGATGAGTAGTGCTGGTATGACCATGCCATGCCATTCAATGGTAATTTTCAGGATCCTAAATTGGAGGTACTGTACCATATAAGGCCATATTTTGGGAGTATATATCCTCTTAATTACATAGCCCTTACATAGGCCTTATATATGTTAGGTACCTCCAATTTAGGTTCCTGAAATGGCCATTGATTATATGGAAATATACACTTATTACCCCTGGTAAATTAACCTGTTGACCCTGAAAATGACCGTCATTCATGGTGGAAACTGGTCTTCCAACCCCGTTGAATGGCAGGGTCTTTGTTAATCTACTGGAGGGTATATGGAAATTATGTATATATATATATACATATATATATATATATATATAGAGATCTGATATAGATCTGATATGCTGTATTTTAATATGGAGGTTTCCTACAATGGTGGTACCCCCAAATCATCCAAAATTAGAGCCTTTCAGTATTGAACCCTATGGTGACTTTGGGGATGTCTCACCAAAAGAACCCCCCCCATACAACCAACCATCATGGGATATACTGGGATGGAGGGATATCATGGAATATACAATGTGGTGCCCCCGGTCGATAGCTAAGTTCGGGTTCACATAACTCTTATTTCACGTTTGGACTTATGGCAGATATATCTATAGTTAATGGGATTATAAACCAACAAACATCACTGGGGGGCACCACCTTATATATATATATGTATATTTGGTTGGTGGTTTGGAACATGGCTTTTATTTTTCCATATATTGGAAATAATAATCCCAACTGACGAACTCATATTTTTCAGAGGGGTAGGTATACCACTAACCAGACATGATAAACATGATGATTTTTTTCTGTTTCAACTTGGTGATTTGTCGGTTCGTAACATGTTCAACTTTTCCAGGGGGTATCCTGGGAATAGAGTAGAATAAAAGTCTATGTGTAATATATATATATATATACATATCACATATCTGGGTAAATTATAACGACCTCACTGTGACCTCACTGGAGTCACGGCTAGTAAGGGAAATCATCCCCAAATGGCCTTAATTCAGGTTAGTGAAATATTATAATTTACCCCCATATATATATATATATATATATATATATATGAGGGATCATCAAACAATGGCTTAAAGTCTGATTTTGGACTAAGAGTTTCCCACATGAACCCGCAACAATCATCAATAGACATCGAGATATAACAGAAGAATGATGGAATATTTGGGTCAACCGGTCATGAATCCATCAATAGGAAATTTACCCTCTGGTTATTTAACGTAGCCATGGAAAATCACCATTTTTAATAGGTATAAAAAAACATCTATAAATGCGCCATTTTCCATGGCTATGTTAAATAACCAGAGGGTATATACAATAGGCCCCCAAAAAAGATCGAAAAGTCATTTCCCACTAGTTTAGCATTTTTTTGGGGCCTCCCAGTTATGTCGGTTACCCCCCAATTGGTCGTAAAAAAGGGTACCACCCAATCGTGAGTTTTTTCTTGGTCGTGACCATTCCGGGATAATCGAACAGTTGGGAAATCTGGAAGTTATGGGGGAAGAACATCATGGAACTACCATCCTTGAAGCACTTGTTCTATCTTTTTGGGGATTGCTATATGTTTTTTGAATAAAAGTTTCCATGTGAAGCGAAAGGAAACGCGGCAAGAAATATATGGATCTGACTGATCAAGAAAGTCTCGGCAGTCGGCAGTGAGACTTTAAACAGAACAGATTGCTTGTTGACTTTTTGTTTTGGTTAACTAGCAATTGATATGGGGGCATTGACCACCAAGAATAAACCACAGGGATTTGTTTTTTTTAATGGATATATTATTCCAAAACCAACTGGTGAAGGGTATATTGATTCATGGGTTGATTTGTGGGTTCGCAAAGGTATTCCAGTGGCTTCTTCACCATAGCCGTATTTCAGTGGTCAGCTTAGGTACCAGCCATGACTTCAAAGTGATGCCCTCCAAACTAAAAGGCTGGATAGTGATATAGTCTTATAGTCATCTAAATACACATACAGTACTATAATATATATATATATACATATATATATATACATACAACACAAACATTGTTAAACCAAACTATCAACCAACTTACCTATCAAGATCAACCATCAATTCCCTATGTTTTTTGGTTGTAAAATCCTCACTTCTTTACCCCAGATTGCCATCAAAACTTCTCCAGGAGCGCATCAACTGCCAATGGGGTGACTGGCACGATTGGGAGGCAGTTTTCGCAGCCCCTTTGGAGGTGGTACCCTCTGGTAAACATACGAAAAAACGATGGAAAGATCCACCATGCTATTAATGGCTAATTCCACTATTTCTATAGCCATTTTCAATAGCTATGTTTGTATGTTTACCAGAGGGTAGGTGAATTCTATGGTTATGTTAGATGTATCTAAGGTGATAGAGGTTTACAAACCAGCTAAAAAAGCTGGGGAACATTGCATGATATACCAATACTTGGAGGTTATAAACCAACATGACATGTTAAATAAGTGGGTTATATAATCCCTTGTACCGGGATCTAGTGGAAACATGTTCGCTTACCTTTGTCTTCCCATGTGGCGATGATAAAAACATATCGGAAAGAAAGATCGAAAACCCATGGCAACCCCCCTGAAAATGCTTGATACATTGTAAACTTAATACTAAGCCATGCCATACACTCTTTTTGTTTTGATACATTTGATGTGGGGTGATTAGTGGATTTACCATTTTACACACACAAACTGACATGCAAGTGAACACATCGCGCAGAGGCTCTGTGATGGTACCAACACGTTGTACAATAGACATCAATAGACATCCTACGAGGTGAGGACCGTCTGTTACAATTTGGTTTATACCCTCTGGTAAACATACAAAAAGCTATTGAAAATTGCCATAGAAATAGTGGATTTACCCATTAAAAATGGTGGATCTTTCCATATTTATGTGGCTGTTTACCAGAGGGTAAACCCCACTAACTATAGTTATTATTTCCCCCAACCCTCGAATTCGCCTTAAGTTATTTGCGTCAACATTTCGCTATCGTAAACGGGGACGTTACCTTGTGCCCTAACGTGTGTATGTAAACTCTTATCAACTAGTGCGCAACCTGGCATGTCCGAGCTGCTTGAGAAACTGGCAAGGGAAACAGGAGCCAGAAGTGGCCGGGCGCAAGTCAGGAAGTGGTCGGGATGATAACCGGCGCGAGAGCCGCGAGAGCTTCACGCACGGGCAGGATGATGTGGGCAAAAATGGCGTGGGAGTTTTAGTTTTGCTGGATCAGGGGTTCGTTCGTCTTGGCCGTATGCAATCATCAGGGGATATAGACACACTTAGTACTTGGTGGCTCATCCCACTTAGTAAGTGGGTAAAAACCCCAGTTATAAATGGGATAAGTAGGGTTAATCCACTTATAATTGGGGTTATAACCCACTTACTAAGTGGGATGAGCCACCAAGTAGTAGGCAAAGCAATGACGGTCGTCGGCAGGTTTCCTCATTTTCTTTGGCCGGCTATCCTGCTCAAGACTTGTCGCCTGAAAGGGGAAATGGTGCGGCAAGCGACCGAAGCCCCTCCGACCAACAACTATCAGTGGTGGTTAAGATTTCAGCAATCAGCCCAAGAAAAGTCCCTTAGTATGGGAATTACTGTGAGTAAAACAAAGCCATAATCCATTCCCCAAATCACAATTTTTATAGGCGCTATGTTTACCATTCCCCAATGGGTGGTTGGTTTACTATTATGTTACCCACATTACTGCGCATCTCTTCATAAGAAGTGCCCAACATGCATAGTTTTCATAGCTACCCTCCGGTAAACTAACAGTTCGCGAACTTGAAGCCATGGCCAGACGACAGTTCATTGATTTACCCAGCTACAACATGGTGGATCTGTGGATCTTTCCATCGTTTTTTGTATGTTTACCAATGTTTACCAAAGGGTATACGTCGGACCAACTGGATCACCAAGTGGGCGAATGTGGATGATCAACGCTGGATCTTTAGGCGTTTGGGCCCTCCAGCCACGTGATGTGAACGTTGGTGAAATTAATCCCCAGTAGCTATACGTAGTTATAAGATGTTATAAGTGTGTGTCATAATCGCAACTGGATCCTTACTGGGATTCGAACTAGAATGTGCCCCCCCCAGTTATAAGTTGCTTCATAAAGCCAATCAACTACAGCTATAAGATGCTATAAGTACCATAAACCATAGCTATTGGAGTTATGAACCAACTTAGCTATCTAGAGCCCCACTTTGTTCCCATATGGTCAAATTTTTGGTCAAATGTCCCAAATTCCACTTGGAGATGGTCATCACCCCATATAGGGCTGAAGACATATAACTCAATCCCAAGTTCTTGGCGTCCATTGATAGCTGATGTTCCCATTAAAGATGGTCCCTGCCCCCTGCCCACCTTAGATTAGCGGTACACATATGGCCCCATGTGCTGTGTGATTATGTACTGTATGAATGCCGTGGATGTTTCTCCATATCAGTTTGTTTCTTCTTTCATGAGCGGGAATTCAAAACATATATATATATATATATGATGTTTTTGTTTTTATGGTATCTAGGAGTAGAGCTATATACTTGTTCGAAACTAATATTATGTGTGTTTCTTGTGTCCAAGGGCATTTATGCATTGAAAGACATATAAGATACTCTCAACAAGGTACATAGGATGAACATTGTGATACACACATATATATATATATTTGTATTATATGAATAATGATAGCCATATTGCCTAAGGCAGAATAAGAATTATGGCCATTGGCTATAGTAAGCTAACAATGATAGCCATTAATAGCCATTACCTAAGTAATCTCTAAGGTACAATGTGGGCCCCCCCAGATTATAAGTTGGTCTATAAGCCCCAGTAACTCTACGTTGTAAGTACCATATACCATAGTGAAATTGGAGCTATTAACCAACTTAGCTATCAACAACCAGCTATTAAATGCCACTTTGTCTTGGTTTTCTATCCCCATTTTCCTATGGTTTCTAACCCCTTCATAGGGGGCCCCACTTTGTATAATGTTAACATTGGCTAAGATTGGCCATCTCTCTTCGGGCACCCCGTTCGCCTGTGCGAGCCTGTGCCCGGAGGCCTGTACGAAGAGTTGCAATACTGGGATCACACGTCGTAGTCGAGATGTTGCTTGGCACGATGACTTGAGCCATGAAGAAGTTATAACCACGGGATTTCATAGGATATTTTGTATGGGAATATATTGCAATGGAGTTTAACTTAATCACTGGTTGTAGTTGTTTTTTCATGGAGATTTTAACTATCAAAGATAAAAAATATAACTGGTACATGATGGCTGATGGGTTAAAGGGAATTATACTGACTAAGTTATTCTGCGATTGATTGGTTAAGAACTAGGAAATTATACCGAGTTGTACTGTTTATTGTTGGGGATTATGATAACCCATAGTAGGGAAATCAACCAACCAAACAAATATAATGATATGGCGTACGGTAATGCTTAATGGCTCAGTTGATAGTAATGAATGTATATGATGATGACTGTCTGACCAATGGTTTTTAATTGTGTATAGTGCTTACAACGAATTAATAATCCCATTTAATATCAAGCACCCCTGTGTGGTCATGAATATGTGTAAATCCAAACAAAAAACATTTTGGTTTGGAGGATGTTCAATATGAGTGGAGGATGGGATTAATCATTGACGTACAAAATGACAATGTTCTGATTCACGGTTTAGAATTATTTACATAATCTGGTTGGTGGTTTGGACCATTTTTATTTTTCCATATATTGGGAATTTCATCATCCCAACTGACGAACTCATATTTTTCGTAGGAGTTGAAACCACCAACCAGATACCCTCTGGTAAACTAACAGTTTGCTATGGAAAATCACCATCTTTAATAGGTAAATCAACGAACAAAATGGGCCATTTTCAATAGCTATGTTGGTTATTTCTAGAGGGTATAAAGCTCCATTGCCATTCATAAACCACCAACCAGAAGATAATATGGGAACACCCAACATTTTCTAGATGGATTCACAGGGATAGTCTGGCAATAGGCAATAGGCAATCAAACATAGCAATGGACAATTCCCCATTTATAGATCATTTTTCCAGCTTTAAAATTCTATTTAGTGGGGATATTCCAGCTATGTTTGATGACACCAAAGGATCCAGGGGGTATCTCAAGCAGTCAGTTCTTTGGACTTCAGCAGGGTGTGTGAAATTCCGCTCAGTTTCTTGGCCCCCCAAGTAGAAACCTTCAGCCAGCATGTTTCGTTGATTATTTTTGTTTTGCTGACTTGTGTTTCCCTACAGTTAAAGCTGTGAAAACATTTATACATGGTTGTAAATGGGGTTACCATTCAATAAATTGTTATTGACTTTTAACTAGCAAAGGGCCAAGACTGTGTGGTTCGTCCATGTTTTTGGCTCTTTACCCTCCTGCAATAATATCGCAGCGAACAGTTTTCGATGAGCACGTCCTTTTTTTTGAGAGGGAACATGATAAGATGTAATTGGGCGTGCTCTAAAAACATCTATAAACTCAGAGGCGTTATTACTTTTATGACTACACAACAATATAACGTGATGGCCATTACCCAGTTTATGGTAGTGACTCATTGTTATGAGCCTCAACCTAAGTGAATTGCAGGACCTAAGTGAATTGTAGTAACCCAACCCAACTTATGGTATATAATTAAATTATCATCATTGAGGATAAATAGCTATTACTGATACCCTGTGGTAATTAAACAAGGCCACAAGGCCATGGAACATCCACCATTTAGTTCGATGATTTTCCCAGTCGTACACCTCCATTTAGAAGGGATTTCCCAGCTAGCCACGTTCGATTGCCGGAGGGTACATTCCATTATATCCTATCAACATTTCATTATATCCCCATTAAACCACCATCTTTCTTAGTTAAATCACCATGTTTGTTTGACACCGGAGGGTTTTTCGCATGGAGATGTCACTTCCGACTGACCGGTTTTTCAGGTGCTTCGCGCGGCCAATGCTTTGGGATCTGAGTGTCAGGGTGAGAATCGGCAGACGCAAAACTGCAATGCACCTTGGTCGATTTAGGTGAGTTAATGATGGATTTTTCCCATGTGGTGCCTGCAAGATAGCTAAGTTGGTGAACATAACTCTAATTTCACTAGGACTTATGGTAGATATATCGAACTAGTTATTCCCAAGATATTACCCTCTGGTTATTTAACATAGCCATGGGAACTGGCCCATAGAAATAGATGGTTTACCGCACTTAAAAATGTGTGGATCTTTCCATGGCTATGTTAAATAACCAGATGGTAATGATGGATGCAGATATCCAATTGGGTAACTGGTTGGTGGTTTGGAACATGAATTTTATTTTCCATTTCATATATGGGATGTCATCCGAAACCCATTGACGAAGTCCATCATTTTTCAAGATGGTTATTGCACCACCAACCAGGTAAATTATAGTGACTACAGTGACCTCACTCTGACCTCACGTCGTGACCGAACCCTGGAATCATGGTTAGGATTCGGGGAATTATCCCAATATGTCTTCTTCTTTCAGGTTATCGAGTTAGTTCAATTTGCCCAGAATTGTAAACATTGCACCAACACTAATATATATATATATAATAAATTATATACATATAGATCATCTATGTCCAAACATGAAATAGTTTAACTAGATGCGTTTAACTATCGTTATTTTGTTGGTTTTTTTCTTGTAGGCTCTATGCTTCACAAACTCTAACAGTGAGTAAAATTACATTGATCATCCACATGGAAGGAGAGGGTTTATGTTTGATGGGGCATTTTAACCATACCGAAAAAAAGTGGGGCAAACTTCTATTTTCTATTTGCCACACCAGTTAAGATTTTTTAGAAGCTATAGTATATACATGTCATGTTTGTTTCCTGCTTTGTTTTCCCTTCAACCAGAGCAGTCAAGGGATGGTTGCAAAAGGGGAAGCACTATGTCTTGAGTTACATCATTGCAGAAATTTGGGGGTTAACCTCCCATAAACTATATCACTCCGAAAATCCGGGAAAAAACAAACACCATGTTTGAAATCACGTTCAAAAGGAACACAACCAATTCCATGTCATAGATGTCCTTTTCCCATTGGTTGGTTGATTAATTCAGGGTTCCCCCCCAATCAACAACCAATAAGTCTTGTAGATGATACTAAATCGATCTATGCTGGTTGGTGGCTTGGAACATTTTCTATTTCTCGATATGGGAATAATAATCCAAACTGACAACAATATTTTTTTCAGAAGAGTAGGTATACCACCAACCAGTATGAATAGTATACCAAAGCAGACCATACATGGTGGCTCATCCCACTTAGTGAGTGGGTTATGACCCCAGTTATAAATGGGATAAGTAGGGTTAATCTTATAACTGGGGTTACAGCCCATTTACGATTCGTGGGATGAACCACCAAGTAAGGGACGGATTCGTTCCATGTCGCGGGAGGATTCGCCTTGCCCTTGCGCTGTGGGTTCCTGGTCGGATTGGAGTAGCTGTGCTGGCGACTGTGAGGGCGCGGATTCCGGGGCGGTCATCGGAATGGTCACGCCCGTAAACGAATTCGCCAAGTTGGTTTAACAAGGATTAACAAGGTGAATTCTTTGGTTGATTAGGTGGATATATATATATATATATTATATTATAAATATAAATTTATATACATATACACATATATCTATATATACATATTTCTGTTTTTTTGAGTTATCGCATATGAGATGAGGCCTCCAAACGTGATGTTTACGTTGGTTTATACCAGTTTATACTTAAACCGCATGAATCCTACTGTGGATGGAAGAAATCCTGCACCGGTTGATAGGTGGATTATCCCATTATAGGGTTTCAGTCATCCTTCTGGTGGTGCAGAATTTCTTCCACAGTAGGGTAGTTATATGAAAAACCTCCTAATCGAACTTACCCTAGTGCTCCAAATACCCTCTGAGAAGGTGCAAACAGACCCCAAAAAACAACTCCAAATACAGTCTCAGAAGGTTTTTGGAGCTGTAGGGATAGAATTCACCAAGTTATGGTTAAGTTAGCTATCGCTTGGGAGCCCTTGGGTGAACTCGTGCCAGTTACACAGCGCGATCCCGGGTACGATCCTCCACTTGAAGAAGGGATGAGTCTCTGTGAAAAACGGGGTAATTTCCCCAAAAAACAAACAAAACATACAAAGTGGGCCCCCGTTTCCGAAATCGCTAAGTTGGGGGCCACTAAACACTCCAATTTCACTATAGTTTATGGTACGCAAGTAACGAACATTCGTTACTGGGGCGAATCTAAACCAACGGTCACATCACTGCGGGCATCAAATTTTGGGGAACCTATTTTCAGACAAAGCTGGGCTAAGCTGGGTGATGATTTTACCGGGCGCTAGAAAGCCTCCATTTCAAAAAACCGGAGTTTTGCAGCAGATGTGCCATGGTGCAGTTACATTAGTTACATTGACAAAACGTGGTATGGTCATCCATTACCCATATGCCATATGCATGGTGCTGGAATATGTTCATCCCAACAAAACTGCCCTTGTCCAAGTTATCACCCAGTAACTTGTAGGTAAATATATATATATATATACCAGCACCAACCGGGTTGCTAATCTGGGTTATGCTTAGTCATGTTTGTCAGTATAGATTTTTTTCCAAGGTGCGCCGTGAAAATATGTTTGTTATATGTTTGTTGGTTTATGAATCCCATTGACCAACCAGAAACATCTACAGTTATGGCCATGGCTATTAGTTACAACTGGTTATTTCTATGGGATTATACATGTTATAAATGGGATTATAAGTACTTATAACTGGTATTTCGGGCCTTAACTGTACCATGAACCAATAATGTCCTTTTGGTAAAAATAGAGGGGCCGGGAGCTGGTTAATCCCATCTATCATCATTTAGCTGTTGTTAAAAGGGTTTCTTCAACCCCCTCTATTAATCAAGCAACCAATGGGAAAAGGATATCCATGCCATGAACCGTAGTTAACCTAGGCATGTTCACCTTAGCTGTCGTTTTTTTAAGGTACCACCTTGTATTGGTGGATTGATTGATGACCCCTGGCATGATTTTCCATTGCCGAGTCAAAACACTACAAAACATGCAAACCACACAGGTGCTTGACACGAGACAACCAGAGTCAAATCTACAAGAGATAATTATTTTTATCTTGAAATATAGGGGTTCCTCAAAATGTTCCTCCAGTCTTCAATTACTCCAATTCTGGGATTGGTGTTGTCTTTTGGAGCGGAAACCATTGTCATCTCAGGGTCTTAAGCCTTTTACAGTTACGGCCGTTTACCAGCTATAATAGTGGTTCTAAATGGCTATAAATACGTATGGTTATAATTCCATAAATGGGGTTACAACTGACTTATAACTGGATTTTTCAGGCCATAACTGTAGTTTCCACCAATTTCAGTCATTGAATGGCACGTGCAAACCAAAGGGACCAAATGGATCCACTGTTACAATCGGTCTAAGTCAGCCATGTCGGCCATGGCTAGCGATGGCTGGCCGTTGATCAGTCATCAAACATCCGTATTCATGGGATTTAATGGGCATCATTATCAAATTGGTGTTTCAGAGGGGTTGAAACCACCAACCAGTTATGGTATTGACTCCAATAAGTTTGGAATCGTTGGGATATAACTTGATATAACCCCTATAACTATGGGATGTACTGTTAGTAAAGCACTAGGGTCCACCATCCGCAATTGTACTACAAATGATAGTACAAACCATCAAAATTCGGTGGCTTATTGTTGCTTGACTAACATTACAAGGTGAGACCTGCCAGTGAAATGGTGGTTTGAAACCCCCACGAATACTGGCTATATCCCCCGAATCAACCGTAGTTATCCAAGTTAAAAGTCAACTACAATGTGGTGCCCCCAAGATAGCTAAGTTGGTGAACATAACTCTAACAACTAGGACTATCTCGGACTTATGGGAGATATATCGAACTAGTTTTCATGGGATTATAAACCAACAAACATCACTGCAGGGGCACCACCTTGTAGGGGCCTCACCTTGTATCTTTATTAACATTGCCGTCGGTATACCCTGTTTCAGACAGACCCATGCGAGCAATGCAGGTTTGATTTCTGTTGTCACCCATATCTAAGCTGGTGATACAATTAGTGGGGCTCCCCAGTGATGTTAGTTGGTTTGTAAGGCCCAGTAACTAGTTCGTTATAAGCACCATAAACCATGTTATTGGAGTTGTGTTCACCAACTTAGCGATTTCGTGGCCACGGGGGCCCCACTTTGTAGTGTTTTTTAGACATTCCATGCGAGTATCCTTGAACCGATCTTCCCATTTCTGAATGTTCACACAAGAGAGCAAGTCTTCTCGGGTTTTTAGGAGTATACTCCCGGCCGGTGCTTTAGGGGTCAAGAGTCGTATATATATATATATATACCCTCTGGTAAACAGCCACATAACTATGGAAAATCACCATTTTTATGAGGTAAATCAGTTATAGATGGCCATTTTCAATAGCTTTTTGTTTGTTTACCAGAGGGTAATGTGTATATATATATATATTATATACATATATATAATGCGTATATATACATATATGTATGTATTCCGTAGTCAAGGATTCTCTGATTTAGATTTAAACTTGAAAGCTTAAAGCTAGGATCTCCCCCATTCACTCGATAAGAAGAACTCTGGTTTCATTGTAGATTATTCCTCAAACCAATCGTTTCAACCATTTTCAACCAAACAATTTGTTTGGGTAACCGGGTAACTGCTGCTCTCACGTCCAGACTGCAGCGTTGGCAAATTGATTAGCATCGAAATGGAAACGACGCATTGATATCATAATGCCTGTGGAGGGAACACAATAGAATCACGCTACAGTCACTGCCAAAGGAAGCGGCACTGGGAAACTGGCGCTTGAAATCTGGGTAGAGTACAATACAGTATGTTGTATTCACCTCTAGGTGGTTCTTAGTCTGGACCCAAATGGTTCGAATGGGTGAGTCTTGCATATTTCATGTTCCATTTTGTCTGGCCTTCTAGCTGTCCCTATGGGCCTGTTCGTGTCCCCGCCCAAAGCTTGGGTCTTGAGTTGTGCAAAGTATAGGTTGCAGCTACCTACTTTAACACAATGCAAGACGGCTGTCTGAGCCCATGTCATCCTACCAAGAGAGTGGTAGTCATCCGATGTGCTAAGCGCGGAGCCTCTGATCTGATTGATGTCCATGGAGTGAATCACCAAGCCTTGCATGGACAGATGAAAGTTGGGGCTACACTGACGGCTGAGGCCACTTGCCCCGGTTGCATGTGAGTACCCAACATTTCGTTAAGCACACAGATCGGCTCCGTATGGGGTTAGGTTATTTCATTGTGCACCCAGGGCTGTTGTTGTCGCGCCTGCAAGGCCCCTATCCCCACCAGTCCTGCGAGTGGCAGGCAAGTCACCCCGGGCCGTGCGCACTCGGGAACTAGTGCAAGACAGCAAATCCAATGGGAACAGTGGCTTGGCATGGCATGCTCAGCTGGAAGGGGATGGGCGGCAGAATTCTCAATTTGTAGGGTTGGCAAGGATCCCTCAATTTTTGTCAAGGTGGTATTTCTTTCTGATCCAAAAAACAAAAACATTGTCATCTACATGATGTTTTTCTGTGCGCTAACGCTCGTGTTTTTATGTATATATATATATATATATTTGTGCCGAGAATTGACTACATACGGATGTGATGTGTTTCCAGTGTTGTCCATCACATAGTGAGTGTTACTTTGCATCGAACCCATGCATAAATTTGCTCCGGTATTTGGTATCTGTGTCGAGGTATTTTTTGGTGCAGCAACTTGCCTTTCATGTTACGCAGTGAAAGTGAAAAAATGCGAAAAATTGCTGAACATGAAAGGATTACAGCCTTGCTGAAAGACAGACATTCAGAAGTTAAAACCCAGCCGTTTGTAAGCGAAAAAACAGGATTTTGAAATTCGTCAGAACTACGAATCACTGATTTCACCAGTTATGCTTATGAATGGCTATTTCTATGGTGTTATTTCGCTGACTTGGAACTGGTATTTTGGGCAATAAGTCTTGACTAATAATTATATGGATTATTAAGAATATAAACCAACTGAGCTCTCTTGGGGGCACCACCTTGTAGGTTGACGCAGCCCTGATCATTCGATGAAACCCATGTGGGTATTAAAAAAGTGGTGAGAACCGCAAATTGGCGCGTTTCATGGGGAAACAGGAAAATATACATGTTGATTTAAACGTGTACACCATGTTAGTTGAATGGATACCCTTTTGAAAGCATGCATACCACTTGGTGAAAATACACAGGTTGAATTTGTTATTGTTGATTTTGGTACTAATCCCATCCCCCTAATATTGACCGTCTCCATTCTATGGTCCCAAGTAAGTGATTTCATCCTCTTCTAAACCATGGTTATATGAATAAGGGAAGGGATTACTTGCAAGAACAATTGTTTTTAACGAGTCCTCCATTGCAACCTAGACCCTCCGTTTGCACCCGTAAAAAGAGTGTTTGACCCTATAACCCTAGTAGTTCTACCATTTTGTTGATGCTATTTGGATGGTCTAGGAATACCCTTAGACCCCATTTATGGAATGATAAACCCACTAGCAACAACTGACAACTGGTAAATGTATATAATTTGATATAAGTATAGAGAACCACCATATTTTTCCACGCATTTGGTGAACACGAGGTGGCTGCCGTGAAGTTTTGGAAGAGGAGAAGGCATTTTGGGCGAAATTTTTGGGATCCCCCAGTCACCATACAGTTATGGCCATGAACATAGTTGTAAATGGAGATATAATTCATAACTAGTTGGTTATACATCATTATGATCCCATTTATAACTGTTAAGGGCCATAACTGTAGGTTTCAATACTCAGATGGTCTAGAATTGGATTTTTTGGGGGTAAACCTCCATATCAACCGGAACTAACAAAAATTAATGAGAAATGGGGATAGACATGGATATCAACTGATATCAGCAAGAAATTGGATGTATATGGGTTTGATGGGTTTGTTTGAGAATGAAGTATACCATATGATTTAGATGATTTGGCATTTATTTGAGAAACACAGAAACACGATGACAGATCACGGGATGTTGGGGTAGCCAAGTTGCATACAACCCCAGATGAAGCATTGACCGACCATTGACCATTCGATTTACCCTCTGGTAAACTAACATAACTATGGAAAATCATTTTTAATGGGAAAATCCACTATAAATGGCCATTTTCAACAGCTATGTTTGTTTACCAAAGAAAACATCCTGTTACACATTTTTCATATCTCCTGGTTTTGACAGGGTGTGTTGGTGTGCAAGTCGCCCCCCCAACCAACTATATTCTAATGTGGATAATTCCCAACAGCAGTGCCAGTAGTGCACCGTTGTGCACCGTTTTTTTTCCGTTGTGGATCGGCTCTCAGTATTGGAGCGGAACCCTCAAACCTTGGAAGCTGCTGTTTTGTTGGGTCCAGCTGGGTTGTCGATGATAGCTAAAGCCATCAACATCATCAACTGTTCACGGAGTGTCCTTGTGCGCCATATCGGCCCTTCCAGGCCTGTACCTGCAGCCCCGCTGGCATTGCCACAGTAGATGACACTGACCTGGATACCCTGACTGCGGCCGTTGGGGGTCCCTAGCGGCCGCAGGAAATTTCCAGATTTCCAGGAGATTTTCCATAAAAAATGGTGATGTCATGGGAGATTTACGGGATAGTGATGGGACACACTACCTGGTAATCAAAAGTGGCTAGCTGGGAAATATCCGATATTCTATGGAGGTTTATAGCTGGGAAAATTATCTATAAGTGGTGGATGTTACATTGCGATGTTTGATGTGTGTCCTCTAAAAGTATTTTGCCTTTCCAAACATATCTAGAAATTATAATTGAATAACATACTTTTGTCCACTTAAAGCTGATGTTTGCAATGTTTGGTATGGCTTGCCTTTCGGCGCTGAGTGGCACGGTGGAGATCGAAGGCAACGATTCTCAGGGTCTTCTCCTGTTGAAACTGCAGCCAGGGACATGCAAAACAAGCCATTTCAAATTGCAGTTCTCTCAAAGTGTGGCCCCCTTAAACGAAATCGCCAAGTTGGGGTTCACATAACTCCAATTTCACTATGGTTTATGGTACTTACAAGGAACTAGTTACTGGGGATATTATAAACCAACGTTCACATCACTGGGCCCCACATTGTAGGGACACAACCGTCAGAACGTGAGGCGCGCCAGGCGCGCCCGTCTTCCATGACCTGCCACGGTGGGTACCATGTAAGTCCTCAGCCTATGTGATTTCGGGAGTACCCTCTGGTAAACTAACATAGCTATTGAAAATGGCCATTTATAGTGAATTTTCCCATGAAAAATGGTGATTTTCCATAGTTATGTTATAGGTTACCAGAGGGTACACCATTTTCAAACACATTGGTTCTACGGAAATCACAGATTGGTTCTACTATAGGCCACTGCATTGGTTCAATATTGTAGTTTTCAGGTCTCTTCAAGGGTTCTATCCGTTTTCCGGATCCTCGTGTTTCTTAAACATCTCTCGGTGAACCGGAGAATGAGTTGCATCTGCCATATCGCACTTTCTAGACTCAGACCCTTCATTTGTACCTTAAAAAAATCTGGTTTACCCCATAGTCGTAGTACTTTTACCAATGTTTTGGGGGATATGTGGAGGCCTATAAGGTTTAATTTTCCTATAAGGTTCCTCATGTTGGGCCTGGCACGTCCTGGCGTGTAAAACACTCTTGTTATGGCTACAAACGGAACGTCAAATGGTAAATAGGAAAGTGAATCCAATCCTCAAACATATACAATTAGTGGTAAATTGAACCTCTTCTATCATGCTGGGGGCTTATTTGGTGTCTCATCCCACTTTGTAAGTAGCTTATAACATGTTATAACCCTGAGTGATTTCATGGGATAAGGAGCGGGTTACTCCACTTATCAATAGATAAGTTATAACCCACTTACTATAAGAGGGATGAACCACCAAGTGCTTTAGGATCCTTTTTTTTCTCATGGCCCAGATCACCAAGGATCTGCGAGCCCACGATTTGGACGCAGAGGCAGCTTCAAGCAAGGTGGGATGCCGGATCCATCGAAAAAGGGTGGCAAAATGTGGTCATCACCCAGCATTGTGGGATATTCATAGATATAATATAATATATAAATGATAGTGTATCATTTCTGAAGGGCATATTAAATATATATATATATATATATATCATGTAATGGTGATTCATGGGATGCAAAACACCAGTAACTGGGGGCAAAGCGGCCAAGCAGCCTGACTTTGGAGCTTGACTTCGTCGAAATCATGCAGAGATGGCCCTTACCAGTTATCAGATGTTATAAGATGGTCTAAGTCAGTACGGAAGCCCATTCAACCTGGTTCATGATAACCCCATAGAATCTCTATGCCATAGAAATAACCATACCTTCTGGAATTTAACGTAGCTATTGAAAATTGCCATATAATAGAAATAGTTGATTTTCCCATTCAAAATTGTGGATCTTTCCATAGCTTTAGGGTAGATGATGATTATCAATGTTTTCTCCATATCTTCCAGGTTGCCAACTTTTCTATCTATTTGGGTGCTATAAGCGCCAGAGAGAATTTTGTTGGCGTTGACGCATACCTTCCCAGCCATCAGTCGTGAGTCGTCACGTTGTTTCCAAAGGCATCACCGAGATGTATGGAGGATCATCCGAATCGGAACTGGTTAACCATAAGTTTACAAGCCACTTATATATATATATATGTACAATACTGTGTATATATATATAATATATAATATATAATATATAATTTCTACTATCTAATATATAATATATAGTTTCTAATATATAATATATAATATAAAATATTTAATATATAATATATAATATGTAATAGATAATAATGTAAAATATATAGTATATAATATATATTTTTTATATATAATATATATTATATATATTTTTATATATAATATATTATATATAGTATATTATATATATAATATATATTATATTTTTATGATATATTATATATTATATAAAATATATTTTAGATAATATATTTTATATAATATATAATATATAATATAATATATATATACATATACATATGATATGGGACAACTTCACTTCGGGGATTTACGATAGGGATTTCTTGACCACTGAGCTGGAGCATGATCACCCTAAACTCCAAATTCTTGGTCAGATCTCAGCTAATTCCGGCATGGCATTTTTCAGCCACGTTTGATTACCAAAGTGTACACTCCTCATGTTATCCGGAACGAAAAAAACATATGTTTCCTACTCAAACCTCCATTCTTCGGTGGTTTTTACATTCCCATCCTTTTTCCCCATGTTTTTCTCATGAAAAATGTTGATTTTTCCATGGTCCCCTTAGGCCTCAGGCAAATCCACGGTTTTTTCTTCCAGGTCAACAGCGGAGTGTCGAAGGACCGGCGTGTCTCTGGTGCTTTGGTGGGGAGCCTCAACCGGCCGTCGGCCGTGAGTTGGAACATAGCAATCGTCCTTTGGGTCCCAATAGAAACACATACAATGTGGGGCCCCCCAGTTATGTTTGTTGGTTTATAATCCCCAGTAACTATAATAAGTACCATCAACCATAGTTATTGGAGTTATGCTCACCAACTTAGCTATCGTTTGGGGGCCCCACTATTATGGGATAATCCTTCTCACTGACTAATATTTTCAAGATTGTTAAAACCACCAACCATTATATGTTTATATATATACACCCTCTGGTAAACAAACATAGCTATTGAAAATGGTCATTTATAGTTTCTATACCTATGAGACATGGTGATTTTCCATAGCCATGTTAGTTTACTGGAGGGTATACCCTTTGGTTATTTAACGTAGCGAACTGGAGAATCACCATTTTTAATAGGTAAATGATCAAAAAACATCTATAAATGGGCCATTTTCCATGGCTATGTTAAATAACCAGAGGGTACATATATATATATATATATATATATATTTATTAATTTACAAAAAGTGGCCCCCGAACGATAGCTAAGTTGGTGAACATAACTCCAACCACTATGGTTTATGGTACTTATTATAGTTACTGGGGATTACAAACCAAATTATAACTAGGGGGGGCCACATTGTTATAATGTAAATTATAGAAAGAGTTGGCTAGTGCTCATGATCTCTGTCCTCTATGGCTGGTGCCAGTATGTCGCAGTGAAGCATCCCCGAACTTGAGCCTCTTGTACCGGGCCCATGAGCGTCAGGCCCCTGCCAGTGGTGTTTGTTGACTTATAAACTCCATTCACTATCGTTTTAAGTAGCATAAACCATAGTTATTGGAGTTATTAACCAACTTATAACTATCTGCTTGGTGTTTTGGAACATGAATTTTATCACTTTCCATTCAGTTGGGAATGTCATCATCCCAACTGACAAACTCCATCATTTTTCAGAGGGGTAGGTATACCACCAACCAGATACCCTCTGGTAAACGAACAGTTTGCTATGGAAAATCACCATCTTTAATAGGTAAACCAACGAACAAAATGGGCCATTTTCAATAGCTATACAGTTAATACAGTATCCCCCCAAAACCATAGTCATTATGGAGTTCATCCAGGGGGCACCACCTTGTAGGGATTATATCGGGATAATGGGGGGTCAACCAACAATTTTATGGTGATATAAATGGATATAAATGGGATATACTGGGATATGATGGGATATAATGGGTTAATATTTGCTAATGTGGTGAATTGTGGGGATAAACCAAGCCTTTTGTGGTGATAAAGTCATATGCGTGTGTGTGTGACTCATCTGTAGAGATGTAAAACTTCGACGTTTGTTCGTTTTTTTTGTTTATGCAGGGGGCATGCGGCCATCATGCAAACGCATGCCAACGAAGCTATGCATGATGGTGGAAGCCGGGGCTGATCACCCTGGTGTACCTGCATTGTTGTGACTACCTGTTGTTCAGGGTTTGCTTCCATTCAATTGTCAATGTCTGGTGATGGGAAGAGGCTCAACCCAAGAACCTCCAAGTCAATTTTATTTCTTCACGGTTGCCACAATCTGTATTTTCGCCGAAACCATGTCGCCGATGTATTTTGCTCATTTCGCCGAAACCACATCGCCGATTGTATTTTGATTTTCTCGTCAATATCATGTCGCCAATGTATTTTGATGACGTTTTTGGACATGGAGACCATGCAGGAGAACTTCTATTATTTGAATATGCATCGTTGATTTCTTTGTTTCCTATCTAATCTGCATGTTTCAGGATTCAGTTCCTGCCGGATCACTCAAATGATCCATTCTTGTCTAGTGTGATTCCTATGGTGACTCCGACATGGTGCCATAGGGCCAATTGAGGCAACCCCAGTTGGGGTCAATGTCGACTGAATTGACTTCCGAATTTACACTTTTGAATTAGTAATTCGTTTAAGTAATGTGCAACAGATGGCCTTACCGTTTTGTGCCTTTGACGAAGTCCCGCGGCTCCTGTGGTCCCAGGGATTCCTCGCCGACGCATTTCTTCATCTTTGAAGCTGTTCTGAACCTTAGCATGTTCGTTCGGTACGTTTGGGCGTTCAGAACGCGCGTTTTAAAAACTCGCGTTCCAGAACGCGCGTTCTGAGTGAATCCTTTTTTCCAATGATATAAAGTCAATTGATTTCCGGGGTTTGAACAGAAAAACTTTTTTCCCCCACTAAAAAAAAGGATGTGGAGCTCTTGTGGGCTCAAAATGGTAGATGCAGCCACCAGAAGGCTGATCAGCGATCTGGGCCATGACTTGGACCTTGATGGGATATGTTTGGATTGATAATTAAGTGGATAAGTGGATAAGAGTTAGTGGGAAGGGGATATATGAGATATTAAAAGGCTTTTTCTAGGGTTTGATTCGATGTTGCTTTGTGTTGCTGAGAAGAACCGTTTGGACAAAAAGCCTTAGGTCGGGCAGGCCTAAGATGGAATCCTTTTTTTAGAGGCTTTAGAAAGCGCTGGGCAGGCCAAACACGGATCCTTTTTTTAGGGCCTTTAAAAAGCGCTCGGCAGGCCAAAGACGGATCCTTTTTTTGCCTGGTTTTAAAAGAATTGTGCAGGTTAAAGCCTGCAAGTTTTGCTCCTGGACTGCTTGAAAACTTCTTGAGAAACTCCATGTGCTAGAGTGGATCCTTTTTGCAGGGAGCAAAAAAAGGATTCGGACGCTTCTGGGATCCATAAAACCACTAAAAACACCCCTGCGTTCGGAACACGCGTTCCAGAACGTACGTTTTGCGTTCTGCGTTGTGAACGTGCTAAGTTCTGAACATTCAGAAACCTCCTTCTTTCGCAGCAACCTTTGCAGTTACATTACATGAGACAGAACGCAGGCAGGTACACGATCTTTAGGTGTGGTCTTCTTTCTTTTGATGGTTCTCTGGTGAGGTCAAACATATTGTGCACCTAATTCGCTGGAACTTGAAAGCCGTTTATGCCTATTGTGGCTGACCTGAACACGGGCCTGGAGTGGCACAACGCACGACTTCTAGGTTTTAGGAACTGAATCCTGTTTGTGATGAATGGCGGATGCAGCGTATCTACCTTTGATGCTCCTTGTCATTCCACGTTGTTCCTGGTTGGTCACATTTTTCGTCCCCTCAGCTTTTGGTTTTCTCAAATTTTCATCTGAGTTATTGTTTCACCCATGGAGAACAAGCGTGACGCAACTTCAGCGGGCTTGGGATGGCCTTTGACCTCGAATCGCGGAACCCACTCTACACTCGTTCCCGATGCAAGTACTATCGATGCCTCTACAAACCCGACCTCGACTCCTTCTGGAACCAATGAGTACGTCTAGTGACCTAGCGGCAGCGGCACCTATGGACACATACTCAGCCCCTCCTCAACCTGCAGTTCCTTTCCCGATTCCCGACACACGATCCTCCACATTTCAGTGCTCACCGCCATGCACACTTTACCGCACGAGTGGTTCATCAGATTCACTTCAAGATCTTTACACACTCCAACAACGAACGTGAGCTATTTATTGAGGAGATACCAACTTCGGGAATTTCTAAATGTCGAGATCCTGAACACTTCTTCTATGGCCTCTCGGGAAATTGGGAATGGTCCTTGCAAACTGCAGATTATTGGCGCCATCATTTTGAAATTCCTCTACTACATGGGAACAATCCTTTTCGCAACGTAGCCATTGAGACGACTCCATCGCCAGACGAAGCAGGACATGTCACTACTATCCCGGCTTTGGCCAGGCAGTTATCGGATTCACTGACGGCAGCTACGGCATCTGGGGAACTTAGCGACCCATGGAGAATGGTGGCACACATGAGCTTCCACGACGCGATCCAAGTTCTGCAGCAAGCTTCGAGCTCAACTTCTGAATAGACTGACAGCAGCCTTGTAAGTCACAATTTCGAAGGTTCACAACAATTCGTGCAACGACACGTAAGACCGCTATATTCTTCCAAAAATGAAACCCTGCTTTGGCAGGGTGTGTGTGTGTGTGACTCATCTGTAGAGATGTAAAACTTCGACGTTTGTTCGTTTTTTTTGTTTATGCAGGGGGCATGCGGCCATCATGCAAACGCATGCCAACGAAGCTATGCATGATGGTGGAAGCCGGGGCTGATCACCCTGGTGTACCTGCATTGTTGTGACTACCTGTTGTTCAGGGTTTGCTTCCATTCAATTGTCAATGTCTGGTGATGGGAAGAGGCTCAACCCAAGAACCTCCAAGTCAATTTTATTTCTTCACGGTTGCCACAATCTGTATTTTCGCCGAAACCATGTCGCCGATGTATTTTGCTCATTTCGCCGAAACCACATCGCCGATTGTATTTTGTTTTTTTCGTCAATATCATGTCGCCAATGTATTTTGATGACGTTTTTGGACATGGAGACCATGCAGGAGAACTTCTATTATTTGAATATGCATCGTTGATTTCTTTGTTTCCTGTCTAATCTGCATGTATCACTCAAATGATCCATTCTTGTCTAGTGTGTGAGTGTGTCTGAAAATTGGCTACGGTTACAGTATATTATGTGATACCCTTTAGTGCTCAAACGTGACTGGCTGGAAAACCCCCTATAAGTGGAGGTCTCTATATAGCTGGGAAAATCGAAAATCAGCGAATTAAACGGATTACTTTCCAGCATGTTTGATGACACCGGAGGGTAAACCCCTCAAATGGTCGTTTCAGTAGGGATAATACTTTCCCAATGGGAATACACCATTAGGGGAATCCATAGGGGATATTAGGGAACACATAAATATATATATATATATATATACATATATACACACACACATATATATATATATGTATTTGAGGGGGCTTAAGCAAATCCAAGTTATAGTGGAAGCAGCACTTGCAGCTATGCCATGTTTTGGCACTTTACCAGTTATAAGATGTTATAAGTCAGTAAGTCACCCTATTTATGGAATGATAAGATCATAGAAATGGCCACCAACAGAACTGGTACAGGACTTTAACAAACCCGGGGCCTGTGTTTGTTTCTGCATCCGCGGGGCCCAAGGAACTGAAATTGCATGACCCAGTCTCTTTCTCTTCGGATCCCAATGCCGAAACCGCGGTGCCAGGGCGGAATCGGGCAAAAGTGACCATTGACCATTGACGATGGCACATCTCACCATAGAAAATGTGGGAGAATCATGATTACCCTCTGGTAATTTAACAGTTTGCTATTGAAAATGGCCCAGTCGAAATAGTTGATTCTCCCTTAAAAAATGGTGATTTTTTCCATAGTTATGTAAACGTTTACCAGGCCGGGTAACCATGAAATTTTGGGGTGCCACATTTTCAGACAAACCTCCGCAGAGTTGAGTCCGTTCAAGATTGCAGGACAGCGTCCAATCTAATGCTGTGGATGATAAAAACATTGGATTTAATAGGGTATAGCTTATTTACAAAACAAGACTGTCTTTCATTTACTGGTAGCCAGATATATACAGCTGATACCCTATATATATATATACACACCCTATTTAACATAATTAGCCTATTTAATTGGGATCTTCGGCTTTTGGTTTTCACAACTGTCTGTTTGAAAATGTGTCGAAAACTGTCGACCAATCTGATCAGGTCGAAGCTCCATGGATCAACATCTCTTCGGTGAATTGTGAAGTGGTCCTGTTCATAACCCCCATAGGATCCATGGTGCTGGTATATATGCTAACTGCTAACATTTGGGATATATTGATGGGATCCATGTTACCATATATGGCATACATGGATCCTATGGGACCCAACATTACTTGGTGGCGAACTACCCACGTTTCGTAAGTTTTGTGGGTTAGTTCACCCCAATTATTTGAGTGGATTAACCCGCTCCTTATCCCATTTACAACTGGGGTGAACTAACCCACTTACTAAGTGGGATGAGCCACCAAGTAGACCACTTCAGATAGTTATGATTAGAGAACTGGGTTTTGATTATCGGTTAATTATATTTAATTATCTAATCTAATCTAATAAATAATAACCCAACATAGTTATCTCAGATAATTCTCCCAGATATTCTTGTGAAGTAGAGATGAATTGTGAAGTTGGAGTGGTCTCTCACAATGTGTGAATTGTGAATCACAGAGCCGTTCAACTGTTGGAGATCATTCAGAAACGTGCAAAATGTGTGAATCATGAATCACATCGTACTTTCAAGCCTAACATCATATATATATATATATATAGTGTGTGTGTGTGTTTCTTTCAAGTTTTTGGTCAACAAATGGTAAAACAAGTGATGATCCCATGTATTTTTTGAGACCATCATGATGAAGTGCCACCATGTGCCGCTCCATGTGCCTTTAAAAAAACAACAGTTTCCTGGCTTGTTCGTGGCATTTGCCGCCTGCAACGTGGGCCCCCTTAAACGAAAACGCAAAGTTGGTGGACATAACTCCAATAACTATATCATGGTTTATGGTACTTATAGCTATAGTGAATGGAGTTTATATGCCAACTTATACCCACCAATGGTTGTGACCGACCTTGGCGACGCTAGGCGCAAAGCACCTTGAAGGAGTTGATCGGAAGCCTGAGCGCCACTGGGTCTTGCGAGTTGTGGGGCCTGGACGTCGTGCTGGTTTGGGGGATGGACAGCTGCAATTTTCATGAGTTCAGGGATATCATATCCATATCATATCTATATCCCTATGGATCCAACATCTCAGAAGGTACTTAACCATACTGAAGCCCCAAAATTATAGCCCAGTCCCACTTCCTATGAAGGTACTTGGATCCATAGGGAGTCTGTCTGAACTGGGGTTTCAAACCCATCCTTGGCCATTCCTATGGAGAAAATCCAGTGGAATTTTCGCTATCCCCCCCTGGTCAAACCCAAAGAAGTTGCGTATTCCTACTGAGAGGTGGTTTCTTTGCTGGTAAACTTCGCTATCTCTGAGCATCAACGCTCCTGTCATGCTGACATGCAACTGAGTTACTCACAGTTACGGCCTTTTACCAGTTATACGTCAGTTATAACCCCCATTTATGGAATGATAACCGCGTGTAAAAAGAAGCACACATTAACTGGTAAAGTAGCAACAACAACTATGCTGCTAACCATCAGTTGATCGTTATTTGATCAATTGACAACGGACATCAGTGGAATCGCATCATCATAACCATCTATTATTGCTTGCATAGATTGTTTCATTTCGTTTCTTCCTCGTCCCACTTGGAATGAACCCAATCTTTATGACGTCAACCCATACTTGGTGGCTCAGCCCACTTAGTAAGTGGGTTATAACCCCAGTTCTAAGTGGATTAACCCGCTCCTTATCCCATCTGTAACTGGGGTGAACTAACCCACTTACTAAGTGGGATGAGCCACCAAGTATCCTGATATGAGTAACCGGCAAAATTAGCGGATGACTAAAGTAGTACGCGGGCCCGGGCCCGTGGAGATCAACAACAAAGGACAGCTATCACGTTTCGGTGTCGTTGATGCCCACGGACGGCAAAGAGATGGTGGACTGCTGGTACAGCCTGATCTTACCGGAACAGCAGGCGTGGACAAGGCGATGACATGTTTTTTTTTAATGACTGTAAAATGATACATGTATATATATATATATTTATTATTATTATTATTATATGTATATATGATGTGTAATGGGAAAAACCAATGCCATATACCACCCATTTGGGAGTGGTAAACATAGCACCTACATATAAAAATGATGGTGTGGGGATGGTTTATTTTTGTTTTACCCGCATTATGCTCAGTATTTACTGTGATACATGATATAATTTGATATAATGATATGTATGCAGAATGCATATGAGATGTATGTACAGTATATACCCTCTGGTAAACTAAGCTAACTATGGAAAATCAGCCTTTTTACTGGGTAATTCCACTATGTCTATGGCCATGTTCAATAGCTATATTAGTTTACCAGGCCGGGTACCCTGGTGGTTGGTGATGTCATTCTTGTTTCATCTGTTCCAGGTCCAACAGTGGAGGATCCCCAAAGACTTACATCCAACAGGGGTATGCTGGTATAGTGGTTAGCATCCCACGCACTGGCATTGCCCCAAGTTAAATTTATGGTTGTTTAGTGGTTAGTTGATGTTAAGTTGAAGGGGGACCAAAAAAGTTATGGCCATTTACCAGTTATAACTTATAGTTATAACCCCATATATGGAAAAAATATCACCACATTTATCACCATTTATAACATATCTCATACCGCTGGAAATACCAAATCACATTGGCACAGCATGCGTGCCTCGAGCATTGACCAGAGAGGTCACCATCAATATCCGACAACCGTATAGTGTGTGTTGTCTCATTGCTTCGCAGCATGGAGAACCCCACTAAGGCGTGGAAGAACACCTGCCCCATTTTTGTGATATGAAAATGTGAGCTCAGCCATTCTGATTCACCATACCCTACCATGGTTTATCCTAGGAAAACGATCAACAAATCGTATTTTTCAGGAGGATAACAAAGCGAGATGATGGCGGTGTTTTTTGAAACTAGCGATAATTACCAGTTATAACTATAACCCTGGTTACAAGTGGATTAACCCTGTTAAATGATGATGGCGATAACTATTTCTACCTGTTGCTATCTGTTGCAAGTTCTAGCTGATATGCATGAAAAAAGGAATGCCTAGATCTTGGTTTTGTCCCTATGCAGCGTTCATTGGAGCCTCATGACACCCGAATGATGACACCGTGGAATCAATCTGGTTGACGGTTCTATTTTTTCTGGTTTTTCAACCATGCTTGGGATGATTGGTTGAGATGAGTCATTATTTTTGGGATGGGTTAATGGGATACCCTCTGGTAAACTAACAGTTCGCGATTGAACATGGCCATAGAAATAGTTGATTTACCCATTGAAAATGGTGATTTTACATGGTTATGTTAGTTTACCAGAGGGTAACTAGGTTAATGGGATAAATAATGGTGAGTCTAGATATCCCCTTCTGATTGATTATTTTTCAGAGCTATCAAATGGGATATTTGTGCAACCAAATGGCATAAATAATCATCTACTACCCTCCAGTAAACTAACATAGCTATGGAAAATGGACCATTTATGAATGATTTACCTATTAAAAATGGTGATTTTCCAGTTCGCCAACTGTTAAATGACCAGTTTATAACCCTGGTTACAAGTGGATTAACCCGCTCCTTATCCCACTAACAAAACCAGGCTTATTTCACCTACGCTTAGGATCCGTGGCTAGCTCGCCAAGGAAAAAAACCCATGGACGATGACAGGCAAATGCCGTGGCGGCCAAGTTGCACGATATCAACTTGGACGATGCCACGCAACACTTAGGTCGAAGGGTTCAGAGTTTCAACGCACGTCTGTTTTTTTTTTCGCGGTGAAAGTATGGTTTGTAGCAAGCAATGGAGATTGATAAGTGATTGTCTGTGATTGTTTATAGTTGATAGATTGAACATATTCATTTATAGTTGATTTATAGTTGATTTTGTTTTTTCAATGATTTTGATTGCTTGAGTGGTAAGCCATAGATGATGGGAAATCATGGGAAATCTAGCGGCAAAGATGGGGCTTTCTTGAGCAATGCTTTGTGTTTTAATGACTAAACACATGCAAACATGGTCATTGTGGTCTACTATAGTAGGATTTTTACGATAGTGATAGTGATATTAACTGTATAGTGTAGTAATATCCACTATTATAGGACCAATGCCTCATACTATTCAACTGTACAGGAGTAGAAAGGATAGTGATTCAATCACGAAAGAAATGCTGGTTTCGCCAACATAGTGGCTGTACCAGCGTGTATCAACCAACATGAAGGTTCATCAAGATGAACCTTGTTTGACCGGTAAACGTTGTGATTTGGCTGGATGGCGGTTGCAGCATCAAACTTGGGATTTTTACTCCGCAGGCTGCAGGAATGGTTGTGTGACCTGCATTATTGAAGCAAACATGGGGATTTGCAAGAATTCGGATTGTAACCCATATAAATTGTGATTTGAATTATACTGTACCATAATAATGTGGATTTTATCAGCATAATTATGGTTCAACCGGCAGGGAATGATAATTCATGCACCAAAGAATGGATTGAACGGGCAAAAATCGTCGTTTAGTCAGCACACATTGAACCGTGGCTTTGTTGGATTATATGTTGCTTTCAGGAGCAAAAGTCTAGATTTAAACAAAACCTGGTTGGTGGTTTGGAACATGAATTAAATTTTTCCATAGATAGGGAAATTTCATCATCCCAACTGACTAATATTTTTCAGAGGGGTAGGTATACCACCAACCAGAAACATATGGGATTCAATTTCAACTGGCGTACTTTTGGTGTAATAAGTAAGTCTCGCAAGGAACTGGGCGATGCGAAGAACTTGCCGAGCAAAATGCCTTGGCACCTTTGTGTTGATGATGGGGTTACAAATGACTGTGACCCATGAACCCGCAATGCGGTGCATCAATTTCTTTGGTGCATCGTTCTTTATCAACATGTTCTCATTTCATCTCTGTTCGACTATTCCATTATTCGATGTATCTTTGCTTGATACAATTGACCCACTTTGGAACTCACATTTTCATGAGAGACCTCTTGTGATCGAGCTGAACACCAGTGAACTTGAGAGATTTGTTGCAGGCGATGAACTCAAGAGGCTGGGCGTCACTGCTACTTGGATACTGGATGGGAACCCTGTTGATGGACTGAATCCACAAGGCAGTCATTCATACAATGTGGGGCCCCCCAGTGATGTTTGTTGGTTTATAAACCCTAGTAACTATATGTAGTTACAGTAATTAATATTTATAAGATGTTATAAGTACCATAAACCATAGTGAAATTGGAGTTATGTGAACCCCAACGTAGCTATCGAATCGCGGGTGCCCCACCATAGCTATGTCATCCCAAATTGAGCGGCTGGGTAGACACGCCCTGTTGATTCTATGGGGTGACTATATGGGAATGGGTCAGTTTTTTTTCGGCCCAGAGGACCGCGGCTTCTGTTCATTTAAGTATTAACCATCCAGTATCAATGGGCTATCTAATTTTGACCATTACTCAGGGAATTAGCACAACCGATGCACAAATCCGTTACCAACCAGCATTTCAGAATATCCACAGAAATAACTGGTTGGTGGTTTCCAACATTTTTTATGTTCCATAATGTATGGGGCAATCCTTCCCATTGACTAATATTTTCAAGATGGTTAAAACCACCAACCAGAAGAACAATGCAAAATTGGTGGTTGATATTTGAGAAATTGTGGATCCAAAGCCTGAGGATCTGCTTACCCTTTTTGGGTAAAGTGGGGATGGTCCATTCTTGGTGAAAACCACTTTTTAACGCATGAACTGATGGGTTATATTATGTTAGATTGGTAGATGCGATTCTAGTGAAAAACCGGTGATTGTTGGAAAGCCATCTGGTTGGTGGTTTGGAACATGTTTTTATGTTTCCATATATTGGGAATAATAATCCTAACTGACGAACTCATATTTTTCAGAAGGGTTGGAACCACCAACCAGCCATAACATGATTTCGCTATTGAACATGTCGACATTTTACATGTTTCAAACAGAGAATAGCCTTCCCCGTTCAGTTGAACACGAGAGATCAACCAGCAAACATGAGTTTGAATAGATCATAATATTATATATATAAATATATATATATATATATTGTATAATATATATATATATTTATATTTATATATATATTTATATTTATTATATATTCTATATTTTTTTTTATTTTATAATATATATATATTATATTATTTATATATATATTATATAATATAATTTATATTATATACAATATATATATATATCCCATGTTTCGGGATTGATTTCCCAAGATTGGAATCATGATCGATATTTTGAAGAACAATTCCTATGACTTATCCAATCCTTGCTGGTTTCAGTTCGCGCGTTTCTGCTTGTCACAGGATTTTTTTCTGAATTGCTGGTGGGTGATTCAGTAGATGTGTTTTTTGCAAATTTATGGCTCGTTGCTGGTTTCAATGGATTTTTTTTTGCGGTTTAGACTAAGTCGTAGGGAGTGGACGGAGTGGATGTTCTTTTTCAGTGTGATTTCACCTTACCCTCTCGTAAACTAACATAACTATGGAAAATCACCATTTTTAATGGGAAAACTCACTATTTCTATGGCCATTTTCAATAGCTTTTTGTATGTTTACCAGAGGGTAACCGGTAGGGGACCAGCCACAACTTGGCCATGTCACACATTTCCATGTCGCGAGTGGCCCAGATTGCACGATTCAGCTCTCCATGGATCCATGGCACAAAATATGAAGAAACTGAAACCCCAAAAAAAACGACACAAAAATGAAGCTCATTGAACACTACAAAGTGGGGCCCCCTAGATAGCTAGGTTGGTTTATAACTCTACAACTATGGTTTATGGTACTTATAACTATAGTTATTACTGGGGCTTATAAACAACTTATAACTGGGGGGCACGACATTTTATATAATTATATATATATACACTGGTTGGTGGTTTGGAACATGTTTTGATTTTTCCATATATTGGGAATGTCAAGATCCTAACTGACTTTCACTCCATCATTTTTCAGAGGGGTAGGTCGGGTAGGTATACCACCAACCAGTATATATATATAAATTATATATATATATTAAATATATTATATTATATAAATATATATATTTTATTTTACATATATATATATATATTAAGTATATATACATATTATATATATAATATTATGAAACACAACAAGAATTTTCTCATGACACAGGGCATCAAAGTATCCCATGTTCGACTCGGCATGGGTCTACCCGAGGCCTCGGTAACAGCGACGCGCATCACGGCCACCGTGATGTCCACCAACACCTGACGGTCTGACTCGTCGAAAGTCGACGAAAAAATCCAGCGGTGGTCATGGTTTCATGGTGGAAGGTCAACCATGAAGGGTTTCATGGATGTTGGGTGAAGTTTTTTTTGGAGTTTGATGATTTTGATGGGAGTTTGTTACCCAAAAAATCTAGAATTGATTGTTTTTTAACCAGGAAGGTTGGGAAACCGACCTGAAGAAGATCATGTTTTGATATGAAAGGTGGGATTTTAACAAGAAAAAATGATTAGTTGAAGGGTTTGCAGTTGGCAAGCAACTGGTTCGAGATAATTATTTGGTTGGTGGTTTGGAAAATGAATTTTATTTGTCCATTCAGTTGGGATTTTCATGGAATTTCATCATCCCAACTGACGAACTCATATTTTTCACAGGGGTAGGATTACCACCAACCAGTATAAGTACCACAATCATAGTGAAATAGGTAAATCAACTATAAATGTGCCGTTTTCAATAGCTATGTTAGTCATTACCAGACGGTAATTATGTTTTGATACTGAGTTGACAGTGCGCTGCAAAGTGGTTGTTACAGCCGGGTTGTGATGGCCATAGGGTTTTCGTTTGCGAAACCTTCCACCATGTCACAACCTCTGGTAATGACTAACAGTTTGCGAACTGGAAAATTGCCTATTTATAGGTGGTCTACCGAACTTAAAGATGGTGATTTCCAGTTCGCTTTTTGTATGTTTACCAGAGGGTATACCCAGTTTGCTGTCCTGGGTTTTAGTCCAGGGCTTAGAAGAATAGTGGCAAGCTCCTGCTGAGTTTGCTGAGTGGCTGGGGATAGACCTTGGACTAAGATGTTGATGGACAAAGCAGTGGCAGTGGCATGATAGATGACGATAGATGATAATAGGATGATACCCATAGGATCCATGTATGGTATATATGCTAACACTTGGGGTATATTGATGGTAAATGTTACCATATATAGCATACATGGATCCTATGGGATATTTGACAGGTGATGATAGACCGTGATGATAGGTGATGATGGTTTGGTTCTTGCCTTTCTCATCCATACTCACCCATGGTCCAAGTTGGTGTTGCTTCCTGCGCCATCAATGCGGAGCTGTTGAAATGGGGGCGCCAAAATCATCTGAAATCAATGGTGTTTGATGGCAGCTCTAGTGGTACACTGGATGTGGAAACATGCATGAAATGCGTCAGGGTGACAGCAAGCCGCGCTGTTGCATGAAAAAACGATCAAACAACGGCTGTTGGCTCATCAAATCCAACCTGATATAAGCTTTAAGAATCATATCAGTTGAAACAATGAGCATCTTCAAGCAATGCCACTGGCTCGGCAGCTCCACTGATTCCAGTTCACTGTCTCATTTTTCCTGAAAATGTCTATCACCTGTAAGACAGACAGAAACTCAAGCAGAGCAAGACCGAAACTGCCAACGTATACTTATACCTATAGCTTTTAGAAAAATATCTTAAAACTCATGCAACATCTACAGATGAGATTTATATTAAGAAACAAAAACGCAACTTTTTGCCGAAAAACTGATCGCCATGAACTTTCCAGTCCCCTGGCGAGCCTTGCTTCCGGTTCGGGGCCCTGTGCTTTACGGGAAAATTGGAACCGGAAACCCCCATATTCAATGGTGAAAAAAGACAATGGTTTCCTTTAGATTTTCTCTAACAAACCAATCCATTGACTCATGGACACTCCTAAAATCAAATGGATAATAACTGTGGGGTACTTGGTGGCTCATCCCGCTTAGTAAGTGGGTTATAACCCCAGTTATAAGTGGATTAACCCTACTTCTCCCATTTATAACTGGGGTTATAAACTTGAAACGTTTTGGGATTTTCCCATATGTATAGACACCATGTGTAAAGCATGCATGAACCATGTATAGCATGTATAGCTAATGGAATAAACATTTATCCTGACATCCAGTCCTTTAATCCACCACCTCTGGGTCAGGGTTTTCACCTATAAGCCAAACATATGTTTGGCTCAAGTACCATCAAAAGGGTTTCGCCTGCGCTTCAATTGGTTAAGAGCCTTGTTTGTGCTCGCGCCATTTTTTCCTGATCCCGCGCTGTTTGCTAGTTGAAAACTACACACGGTTCTTGGTTGCGATCTGTGGGAAAAATAGAGGGCTGTGGAGAGGAAGATCCCCCCATCAAGCGCCCTAGGCGCGAAAGGGGGGGAAAGAAAGTCGCTGCGCAAAAAGCGTTGCGCAAAAGAGTGGAAGAAGGAACCTACATTCCTCAGAACTCTTTCCCAAACAGGCCAAATTTTGGTTCGCAGATCCCATCGTCGTCTTCTAGAGCTGTTCCCATCGAAACTCCAGAGTTCCCTGACTTTCCAGAAAGGTCATACCTCGGTGACAAAGAAGAGGATCCAGAACTTGTTGAAATCCTGACAGAAACTGCAGAACCAGAACCTTTCAACCCACAGCATCCTGAAAAGGAATCGTCTAGCACAGTGCCTGCTGAACCAGAAGGCAATCCTGCAACAAGTGCATCATCGAGCAGTGGGGCAAGTCTGCTGTTGACGGCGCCAAATAGTGATCTTCGTCCTAGACCATCCGTTGTTTCAACAGAAATCAGGTCATCAGTGGGGCCGGCTACAACTCGCATCCTGATAGTGTCTGATTTTCACGGTGTGATTGATACCGAAGAGTTTCTCAAGTTTCATCGTGGGCGCCGGGAGGAGACTTCAGGCGACGTTCCATTGAAAAATCGGCAAGCGGTGCTGAGGCTTCTGAACCATTCACCGGAATTGCAATTGGGGATCCTGTCGTACGTGGGGAGACATTCCTACGAGAAGCGAAATCAGACTTCTCAAGCAATTCGGGATCTGAACGGTTACTTGGCATCTCCGATTTATTGGAGGTACCGATACCATATGTAAGGCCTATTTTTCAGGCCCATGTAAGGAATATCCCCAGAAAATATGGCCAAAAAAATGGTACAGTACCTCCATTTTAGGATCCTGAATTTCCCATTGAATAACTGTAGGGTTTATGGTAATGATAACTAGGGCTTATGAAGCAGCGTTCACATAACTGGGGCCAGCTTGTACCATCCCGGACCAGCCCTCTTGTAGATGGGTTTAGCCTGATAGATGGTTTTGTGTTCCCATGTATTCCCAAATGATCTTCTGATATGCTCATTCATATCCCATTACAGCAGCCAAGTACCCCTTTTCTTTGTCAACAGAGGCTTCATTTCTTAGCATGACCATCCCCATAAATTGGTTTATAAACCGCACTCACGATAATTTATCTCCTGGGTCAACCATAGAATTCACCAAGTTAGGTGACTCACTTTTGCTACGATAAAATCGTGTGCCTCACATTGTATACCATGGACTCACAGATATAAACCCTATAAACAATAGATTTACATCCCCTATATGTCCATTATAAGTCAAAGTTATTATATCCCATTAGATCCAAAATAAGATAACGATTAGCCCATTATCTCTATCCCATCTTCAGTTAAAGCCCTTTACCAGTTAATTATAAATAGTTATAAATGGGATATGGGTTTATCATCCCATATGTTTTTCTCACCGACTTACAACTAAAAAAGGGGCCCAAACTGTATATCCCATCAGTACATCCCCTAATCTCCATCCATCTCCCCTACAATTGATGTTTCTATTAGAAATGCCATGGCATTTCCCATTTTTACCTCAGCCGGTCCAATGCCGACAAGGCCGACGCCGTGGCCACCTTTTCGGGTGCCGGCGGCCTGCGCGAGATCTGCGACGTCACCGGGGCAGGTGCCCATGCGGAGAAACCAACCATTGGTTATAACCAGATAAGCTGGGGCTACAATGTGGTGCCTGCAAGATAGCTAAGTTGGTTCATAACTCTAATAACTAGGCCTTATGGTAGATATATCGAACTAGTTAATGGGATTATAAACCATTATAAACCAACTTATAACTGGGGGGCACCACCTTGTAAGTTGTAGGTTGGATTATAAACACCATGAACTATAGTTATAGATATCACAAACAATAGCTATCACCATAATGACCATAGAAAACTATAGAAAAATGGGGATTTAACCAATCCAAAGGGGCATTGAATGGGATAAAAAATCGCTGTGTAACTGGGGTTTGTACCACATTTCTCCTCCACGGATTTTGGTTCTAAATATTGGACGTCTACAACCTGGGACCTTTTTCAAGCTCCTTGGCTGTTTTTTGTTTACGCTCTGGTGATAAACAAATCCATAGTCATTTAGCCACTTGGTTATTTAACCATGGATTATGGGTGGGCCCCCAAACCAAAAATGCTGATTAGCTTCTGGTAAACTGCCACAGAACTATGGAAAATCACCATGCTATTAATGGGAAAATCCACTTTGTCTATGGCCATTTTCAAGTTCGCAGACTGTTTGTTTACCAGGTATTGGTGCTAACATCTTCGACCCGTTGACTTCGGTGATGTTTTTGGGGGTTGGCTTTCGCCACTTTCACAAAGCCGAGAGGAATTGGAATAGGCGCTGCTTCGTGGCGAACTACCGACGAATCGTGGTTGTAACTGGGGTTACAAATGGGATAAGTAGGGTTAATCCACTTATAACTGGGGTTATAACCCACTTACGATTCGTGGGATGAGCCACCAAGTGGTAGTCTGGCATAGCTATGGAAAGCGTAATTTTTAGTAAATCACCTGCAAAGGGTCATTGTCCATAGCTATGTCGGATTACAAGTGGCTATATCCCAGGAGTGAAAAAATGTGTTTTTTGCGGTCAAGACTAGCTCTGCTCAAATGGCTACAATTTTTCACACTAGTTTGAACGATCGCTCTAAAATTCCCCTTTCAACCTCCTTGGTTTGTCGTAATATTGGACTCCAACTTCCACAATTAATGTTAACAAACATAACTTCAATATATTTCAACTTTCAACTATACTTATTGGTTTGTCCCAAAAAGTCGTGTCGCTTCTTATACTGGTGCTTCTTTTGCCAGTGATGTATGCGACATAACCTCCAACTTCTTGTCCCAATGCCGGGCCTAGGACGGTGACTTGCTCTCCTCCTTCCTCTCCTCCTTGGGTCTCCTCCTTGGGTCTCCTCCTTGCTCTCCTTCTTGCC